CACTGGCTGAGCGTGGTGCTGACAACACCAAGTCAAGGGTTAAGATCCCCTTACCAGTCATCTTTTTAAAAAAAAAGCATCCAAGAGATCCAATATATACTGCTGTAAGATCTTTATACTACACATAAAGCAGTATAATATTATTTGAAGGTAGACTTTGATCAAGTAAAGATGTATATTATAAACACTAGGGCAACCATAACCGATTTTTTCAAAAAGGGATAAATACATCGATAATGGAGATAAAACGGTATAAAAAAAGATACAACAGAAAACCACAGCCTTAGTGACTTTCATGATACATGAAGCAAAACAAATAGAACAGAAGGAGAAATAGATAAATGACAACTATAGTTGGAGACTTTAATACTCCTCAGTCGGTGATCACAGAAGTATACAGATAATCAGTAAGGTTAGAAAAGAGCTGAATACTATCAACTAACTTGACCGAATGGAATTTATAGAAACCTTCACCCACCAGAGCAGAATACATGCTCTGTTCAAGTGTACATAAAACACTCACCAACATAAACCATATTCTTGGCCACAAAACAAACTTTTAACAAATTTAAAGGAATAGAAATCATATAAATTATGTTCTCAAGACATAACAGAATTAAACTACAATTCAACAACAAAAATAGTCTTATAGTAGAAAAGGGAAAAAATAACATGGTTTGACATAAGATAATGTCAGGGAGGAAAAAGAAACGACCCCAAAGGACTGATTAATTGACTGGATATAGAGTATGAGGGAAACGACCCCAAAGGACTGATTAATTGACTGGATATAGAGTATGAGGGAAAAGCAGGTATAAAAAAAGACTCCCAGGTTTCTGGCTTTAGCAAATGGGTGGGGAGTGGCAATTTTTTTAGTCAGATAGAGAACAGTTTAGAAGGAAAGATCAAGAGTTCAGTTTTGGAGATAATAGGTTTCAGAAGTCTATGACACACCCAAGTAGAGCTATCAAATAAGTAGCTGAATAAATTAGTCTGGAGTTTAGAAGAGCAATACGAACTGGAAATATTAACTGGGGATTGCAGGCCCAGACTTAGGATTGTAAATGTAAGTAAAGAACTTAGAATGATAAACAGTATATAGTGTTATACCAGTTTTTCCTATTACTATCATTATCAATTGATATTAATCATTATCATCACCCAAGTAGTATAAATGTATCCTCACAATAGTAGGTATGACTTACACAGTACACAGGATTATCACCATTTAGAGATAAACCAGACACACCAGAAAAACAAACAAACAGGCTCACCACCTGGAAAATTACAGTGCCAGAAAATGCCAGAATTAAAAGTAAGATTTGGCTATAAATATTTTTTTCACTAAAAAATTTCACATCTGTTACTCCCAAAACAGTAACTGCGTAAATAATGGGAACTGGTAAAGTCTCGCCGATTTAATTCTCATCCTAGACTGAACTAAAAAAATAACAATGACATAACAAAGAATCACTTCTCAAATTTAGTTTTCTCAAATTCAGAATGGTTTACATATTACTAATTCTATTTCAGCCTTCAAAAAACTCCAAGGTAGGCCGGCCCGTGGCTCACTTGGTAGAGTGCGGTGCTGATAACACCAAGGCCACGGGTTCAGATCCCATATAGGAATGGCTGGTTTGCTCACTGGCTGAGCGTGGTGCTGACAACACCAAGCCAAGGGTTGAGATCCCCTTACCGGTCATCTTTTAAAAAAAAAAAAAAAAAAAAAACTCCAAGGTAATGTGTCCTGGATCAAAATATAATTTAAAACACAGAGATAGAAATTTCCAATATTTCCTTTAATAACAAAAAGAATAACAACATTATCTTTGAAGATAGCTAAAATGATAATATTGACCAAGCCCCTTCACACAAAAAATCTTAGGGGCCATTCATTTTTATAATGACTCCATTTTACATCGAGAAGTTGAGCATGATCGTGAAACTGTAAAAACTCTATTTTGCAGTGAATAAAATTCAGACTAAAACTGTAAATTAAAATTGTTCCTCTGTCCATTCAGAACCTTTTCTCATACTTGATAAATACAATTTTGCTTAGCATTATGTTAGTTTTATTTTAGAACTAAGTTTTGAAAATATTAGTGGGGAGGGAAGAAGGAGAAGGAAGGGAGGAGGAGGAAAACACTCTAGGCACTATTCTAAGTCCTTTATATATTATCTGATTAAATATTTACAATAACTTCATGAGGCAGGTATTATTCTCCTCCCTATTTACTATACACGAGGAAACTAAGTTAAGCAACTTGTCCAAGGTCACAAAGCTGATATGTGGTACATTCATGACTCCAAGACAGGCAGTCTAACTCTGTAACAGGCAACCAGACCATAACTGCAACATAAACTACCTCCTCCCCACAAATAAATAAATGGATGAATAAAAGCCTTCTTGCTTCATGATTAAAAAATTCTGTCAAATGTTGATTTCTAAACTATTTTGGGGAGATAGCAAATTGAATTTCTCCCAGCTCTTTCAGAAGTTTTCTGAATAGTATGCAAATTAAATTGAAATAAAACTTCATCTATTTGAGATCTCATTCCTCTGGAGCTCACACATTATAAGAATATCAGATATAATTGAGTATACTTACTGGCAGATTTAGAAAATTATGTATGTTTTTGATCCTTAGTATGATAGATACAGTATGATTTTGAAAAATCCTTTGGTATAAGTTATTATTAAAAAAAAAAAAAAGTAAAATGATTATGAAACTCACGTGCACAGAATAACAAGAGAACAAGGGAATAATTCCTGGTACTGAAGACAGCATTTTAATACTCGATCATCATTGTTCTCATCACTCAATCCATCTGCAAATTTAGCAAAAGCAACTGTAAATAAATACACTAGAAATCTGAGTACCACATGAATAATCTAGGCTATATTTACAAATAAAAAACATCTAAAAATTTTAGGGCAGTGAAACTACTCTGTATGATACTATGATGGTGGATACATGTCATACATTTGTCCAAACCCAAACAATGCACAACACCAAGAGTGAACCCTAAAGTAAACTATAAACTCTGGGTGATAATGATGTGTCAATGTAGGTTCATCAATTGTACAAATGTACCACTCTAGTGGGGGATGTTGGAAATGGGATAGAATATGCATGTGTCAGGGTGGGAGCATATGGGAATCTGTACTTTCTGCTCAATTTTGCTATGAACCTAAATCGCTCTAAAAAATAGTCTATTAAAAATTAAATATATCTAAAAGAAAAAAATATTAAATAAAAAGAGGAAGATAAGACAGCAAAACAATGTCTTGAAAACTCTGGATCTAAAATTCACACAGCATATAGTTGTGGATTTAATAAAGCGGTTAGTTCACTACTAAAATGGAGTAGGATATGCAGAAATGTCATCAATAGGTTAAATGTCAGACTAGAAACCAAACGCTAAGAATTCTCATCTCAACTTGGTCACTGACAGATTACAAATACATTAAATAATTACATCATGCTTAAAATTATCTCAATTTAAGAGGTAAACTAATGGGCAACTGTTCTACCAGCAACTAAACCAGTTTCCTGTGTCTGATTTTTCTTAATCTCTAAAGCAATACATTTAGAGATGTACAAGAGAAGGAAATAGGAGCCCTAGGGAGAGAACATTTCTAACAAATGTTAATCACTTGCTGACAAGGGGCCCTCTGGCATTCACCAAGCCTTAACATCTGTAGTAAAAATTTAGTTTATGTGAAAATAATGCAATGTGGGTTGAATGTCCCCCCAAAATTCACTGAAGCTTCACCCCCACTGTAACAGTACTAAGAGGACGGGAAATCTGTTTATGATATTTGAAAGGGCTGATTAGATTATAAGGACTGAGCCCCTGTGAATGGATCGATCCATTCATGGAATAATGGGCATGGTTCTGATGGCTTTCTAAGGAGGGCAAGTGAGAAAGTCAGCGTTCTCTTGCTCATGTCATTTTCTTGCTATGTGATAAACTGGTCACTATGTGACTCTGCGTAGAGTTCCCACCAAGAAGAAGACCCTCATCAGATGCACCCCCTGGACTATGGACTTCCCAGCCTCCAAAACCATGAGAAATAAATTTCATTTCTTTATAAATTAACTAGTTTCATGTATTCTGTTATAAGCAACGGGGAACAGACTAACACAGTATAGAAATAGGTCAAAGACAATGTTCCTTATACTATCTACCTCAGAACTCCCTAGGGTGCTTATTAACAATGCAGATTGCAGGACCATACCCCAGATCTATTTCTGAATAAGAATCTTTGCAGCCTGGACCCAGACACTGATTTAAGGTCTTGGCAAGTCTCTTACACACTAAAATTTAAGACATAACTAGCCAATGAGCTTCAATTTTGTTCCCAGTTTATAACCCTTCTTCTCTCAACTTTTAGACTATATATATTACTTAGTCCTTTAATCATTCAAATCAGAAACTCATTCATTCATACAATAAATATTTATATAGGAGGGCTGGCCTGTGGCTCACCTGGGAGAGTGTGGTGCTGAGAGCACCAAGGCCACAGGTTCAGATCCCTATATAGGGATGGCCGGCTGGCTCACTTGGGAGAGCATAGTAGTACTGACAACACCAAGTCAAGGGTTAAGACCCGCTTACCGGTCATCTTTAATTAAAATAAAAAAATTTATATAGGACCTAATTTGTGCCAGGTCCCTGTGCTAAGCAGTTAGATATGCAAAGATGATTAAAGTTTTTAGGAGTTCGTAGTCTGGTAGTGAAATCTAGACAGAGCTCAATTATCTCAGGTCATGATCCTGAGGGACATGTGATTCAGTTCCTCAATAAGACAACCAGTGAAGTCAGTCTATTATATCACAGTAGTCAATTTTCATTCTTTTAGCTCAGAGAGTATATACCACCAATAATGCAAAATGGACAACTCAAAATCACTAGTTAACTTTAAACAATTCAGCAGATGAAAGAAGATTTAAAGGTAACAGTGTACTGCTCTAAAGGTATTAAAGTTCAAGATTATCTGTACTATCATTTTTTCTTAAGACACATGAAGCTAAAACTGCAAGAATATTCATGAAATATTTAGTCATTCAACAAATATTTTTGAGCACGTGCTCAGGTACTGTTCAAAAGTGAACAAAGCAAAGACTCTGGAAATAGACCAGTCTGGTTTTGAATCCCTGCTTTAACACTTATTAGATGTATATCCTTAGGCAAAGTGCTTAACCATGAGGATTAAATGAGAATGCATCTAAAGCACTTGACCCAGTACATGGCAATAATAAGTGCTTAAAAAGTAATATACATTTATTACTTAAGACTCAGCTTAAATGGCACCTTCACAGCAATGACCTCTACTCACATATAATGCAAAAATAAATTCTATACAAATTATAGTTAACAAGATTTTTAATACCTAATAGAATTTAACCTCCTCAACAGCATGGTTTATCTTTCTCATTCACTGCTGCAGCCCTAACAATTAGAATCGTGTCTGGTACAAATACTTGGCAAATAAATGAATCAACAAAAATATAAAAATATGGATCAAATGACTGGCTTGAGGAAAGGGGTGACAGATAACTTTTATTTTTCCCCTTAATTATTTTTACCTTATTACAAAAGTATATTTAATTTTATAATTAAAAGTTCAGAAAATATAAAGAAAATCAAAATAATTCATAAGCCCATCAGTTAAATATCACCACTATTCATCATTTATAAGTATATATGCATAATTAAACAAATTTGGGAATTTATACCTTATTTTTTTTTAAAGCTTACTCTTATTTTTATTGAAAAAACATTAATGATAGGTAATTTTAAAAATATAGTATTCTCTCATATGGCTATAGCAATGTTATGTAACTTTTCCAATTGTTATGCAGGTTATTTCCAATATTTTTGCTGTATAAGTAATGCTAGGATGAATGTTATTTATATAAATCACTGTGAGCATATCTCTTTTTTTTTTGGCAGCTAGCCAGTAAGGGGATCTGAACCCTTGACCTTGGTGTTATCAGTACCACACCCTGTCAAAGTGAGCTAACCAGCTAGCTCTCATTATTTTTTTAGGATATATTTCTAGAAAGAGAATTATATTTTTAGGCTTCTTAATGTACACTGCTAAATTGTTCTCCTAAAAAGTTTCCAATTCATCATTCCAAAACAGTACAGTACTGCTCAGTTGTTGGGAAAGAGTAACTTTCCTTTTTTTTTCCTTTTTTTTTTTTTTTTTTTGTGACCGGTAAGGGGATTGCAACCCTTGGCTTGGTGTCGCCCGCACCGCGCTCAGCCAGTGAGCGCACCGGCCATCCCTATATAGGATCCAAACCCGCAGCGGGAGCACTGCTGCGCTCCCAAGCGCTGCACTCTCCCGAGTGTGCCACGGGGCCAGCCCAGAAAGAGTAACTTTCTAAGCTGAGATGTGATAAAAAGAAATCATACCAAAAAAAGTGACAGATTTGTTTTTCTCATCAAACTGTATAAGCTTTCCATATAATTAGGACACATAAGAATTATTGCCTATTCTGGACCATAAGCTATTAAGCAATATTCACAACCATTTTATGACATGGAAGTTATTTCTCCCCATTTCATTTATTCACCTTTAACTTTCCCCAGGTCAGGTTATAAACCCATGCCAATAAGATTTCAAATCCTATGCTCCTCTTATAATAAATAAATAAATACTAAAGAAATGTAATTTTGAAAATAGTTAAGGACAAGGCTAAAGTTATAGTCAACTAAGGCTATTTAACACAGTCTCTTTCACTCAAAAGGTATATGCATTGTATCTGGAATATAGTAGGAGCTAATAAATATTTGTTAAAACGTTGAATGAAAGAATAGTAGAGGCCCTTTTTCTTCAAAAGTTTAAGACTAAACAGCTGTACCAAAAGCCTTTTCATAGTTAATACTATGATTAGATTTACCTTAAGATGAGTTCTTATAAATCTTATGATGAATATCGGTGCAGTGGACAGTATAAATCCATGATATTTAAAATAATATAAATCTACATATATAAATAATTCTGAGTTGGGAAGAAACACTTTTCAAGAATGAAATAAATTTTCTAAACATATGTATAAACTCCACAGACAACAGTGTTCCTTTATACATAGATCTTTTTCCAGCAAGTATAAAAAGCATAAAGAACATACATATGTTCTACAACTAAAGTAATTTTTAAAATGACATAAAAGAAAGTAACATGGAAAAAAATAAAATCAGGGGAAAATCTATAGACCTTCATTGTAAAAATACTTCACTATTACAGATTCTGACAAACCACAGGAAAACTACGTCTTTACAGTAAGTACAGTAACTCTATACAGTGATAGAATAGAAACCTAGTAATCACTTACTGGTCTCATAACTCAACAATGTTATTTTTAAAGAAAGAATCCAGGGTTCTGTAATATAGATAAGTATGCATACAGAACTATACAGTCATTATTTGTGAAATACAGACAAAACCTAAGAAAGTTTAGGAGAAGCAGAAAAATAAAAATCAAAGCCACAACCATCACAAATGCCCTTTCCATTTCACATTCCAATGGCTACAAACATTTTTAAAGTTTTGCACCACTTCCCTCCAATAATGAGTCAGCACCCAAACAACTCTTAACCAGGAAGCACACTAACAGAACAATACTTACAAAGTTTTTGAGAGGCGAGTTGTATTGACTGACCCCATAGCTTTCTATCTTCGTCTTTGAGACTGTCGTTGATAAAATGAACTGCAGGTATAGCTTTGTGCTGGGCACATTTTAGTAGTTTTCCTGCTTTCATATGATCTAGCTCTTGTACAACAACCCAGGGAACTATTAATACAAGTCTGTAAAAGCCTAAAAAATAAGAATAAATCTTAGAATTCAACATTTATTGGGCCGGCCCGGTGGCGCACTGGAGAGTGCGCCGCTTGGGAGTGCGGCGGCGCTCCCGCCGAGGGTTCGGATCCCATGTGGAGACCGGTTCCCGCTCACTGGCTGAGCATGGTGCGGGTGCAACACCGAGGGTTGCGATCCCGTTGCCGGTCAGTAAAAAAGACAAAAAGGAAAAAAAAAAAGTTTTCCTGCTTTCATATGATCTAGCTCTTGTACAACAACCCAGGGAACTATTAATACAAGTCTGTAAAAGCCTAAAAAATAAGAATAAATCTTAGAATTCAACATTTATTGGGCCGGCCCGGTGGCGCACTGGAGAGTGCGCCGCTTGGGAGTGCGGCGGTGCTCCCGCCGAGGGTTCGGATCCCATGTGGAGACCAGTTCCCGCTCACTGGCTGAGCGCGGTGTGGGCACAACACCGATGGTTGCGATCCCATTACCGGTCAGTAAAAAAGACAAAAGAAAAGGAAAAAAAAAAAAAAAAAAACATTTATTGAGCTACTAAATCAAGTTGCTGTAGAAGTAAAAGTTTTAAAGCACACAGTCCCTACCTTTAAGAAATTCAGGACAGAAAGACAATACATAAAAAAAATGGAAATTAAAAAGAGGATATAAGTGTCAAAAGAATGTTGAAAAATAAATACCATTGGATATCAATAAAGAATGAGTTTAGATTGCTAAGTTAACTTGTAAAGGCTCTTTTTTAAAAAAAATTAAGCTGATTACGCTTAATATATATATACTTAATGCCATATCCAAACGGCAATATGTCTGTGAGGGAAAAAACTACATCACTGTTAATATAAAATATCGACTGAAGAAAGAAAATCAAATCTGTAATGTTTTGCAAATACCTGGTATTTCTTTTGTCTTCAAATTTCTAACAAATTTGAGATGACTCATCAGTATATTTGTGTCAATAACAATTAGAAGCTTTTTCTCTGAGGCAGTATTTGCTAGAGAAAAAGAGCAAAGATAGGATTTCATGACACAAGACTTATACAATGACTAAAATTTTAATATCATAGAAGCATAGAAAATTCAATTAAATTTAAAACCCCTCTGTGTCTTGTAAACTTAACTGTATCAGTAAATCGCACAGCTGGCTAGACTCACACTGATATCTGTCTGGTCCCTGTCTTTGTTACCAAGTAAACTGCTTCCCAAACAATCAATTAAGGGTCTCCTGGACAGGAATTACAACCTTGTTTGGGGCAGGGGACAGAGGGGAACTTGTCTAGGTCCAGGTGGGCACAGAAGGTAAGGTCTGGTAAAGCAGACACAGGAAGGCTTGGATCCAAGACTGTGGAGAACCAGCCCAGGAGAGTATTTTTGACAGCATTTTTAAGAGAAAGAAGTCCTTTAGACAATGAAAACAAAACTGCTTTTACTCCAATGCTTAAGAGAAAGAATATTAATCAAGGTTTAATTATCTACCAGCAGAAATATTATAAACTGCTTATACGTGAATTTTAAATCATAAGCTAACTTGCCAAAGCAGTAACCATGTTTCTAAGTCCTACCCTACATAACTGGTAGTTGTGCACTTAAGAATTATAAGCTAATTTTAATATACCCTCAGTGAAATACTTGAAAAGATAAGTACGTGTAAAAGAAAAAGAACATACGATAATATCAGCACTGTTATTTCCTAGGGCCATTGTGAGGATTCAGATGAGTAAATGTACAGAAAAACACTTAGTAAATCGAAAAATTCAATGTAACTACAAGGTAGCATTATTATTTTTATATAAATAGAATTCAAAATACTATACTAATCGATTCTGGATAATCACTATCATTTCCTCCCAGTAGTAAAAAGGATAAAAATTTTACTGTATGAACAATAAGTCCAGGAATATAAAACCTTCAAGCAATCTGCATTATTTCTGATCAGTGCTTTACATAGCCAAAATTGTTAAAAGTTATGATTAAGAGCAAGAATAGGGTTCAGATCCCCATACTGGCCAACCACCCAAAAAAAAAAAAAAAAAAAAGAGCAAGAATAAAAGACAACTCATAACTTTGATAAATGCCTTTTGGCAAAAGGAATAAGAGAAAATACATCTGTCTAATAATGTAAGTTATATAAAACAAATGATTAGACCTGATTCCCATAGCTAAAAGAAATATACTCTATCATTTCAAATAAACATATTTTAACGTTGTTCATCTAAACATCATAAAAACTGAACATTGGCACATTAGTTCTTGGGAAAGCATAGGAGATCATAAACATTAATATACAGGGTATACCAGCAGAAGAATGTACATCATCTTCCACCAAATCAATTTCCATACTCATTAACTCTCCAGAAGATGGAACCACAGGTAAATCCATACTTTTTCCCACACGTGCAGCATGAAGCTCTTCTACTATCTGCATCTACATTGTAAAAGACCCCAGTGAGATATTTTGAGTACTTACTCTGCAGATTAGTAAGAGAAAAAAGTGATTCATTCTTAATTAACTCACTTAATATGAGATGGCTTATGGAAAGAAAAAATTTTATAAAAATATGGAGGAAACATGGTAAAAGGATACAGATTTACAAACATACGCATAGTTTTTAAAACAGTTCTCATTACTTTTGTAACCTTAGGCAAGCAAGCTACTTAATTACATTGGGTATCAGTTTGTTCATCTACAAAACAGGAATATTAAATATCTATTTCCTTTTAGAATTTTTATGAGGATTAAATGAAATAAAGCTCCTTACACAGAACATAGTACATGGACATCAAAACAAGTTCATTCTCATTACCATTCTCATTTCAAAGTACTTTAGGAGCCAAATCTTTTATCTTGATGATGAGCGGTCTTGAGATCAAGATTGTCTATGAACCATAAAAACTTAAATCTAGATCTTAAGACATCTTCCACCAGGGAAGTACTTCCCTGATGTATTTTGATGGAAAGAAATGAAAATATAATCTAGCTTTAGAGTAGAGGTGAGAAATCTATCAAGAGGCACTGACCCACAAGACAGAAAAATACAACTGATTGTCACAAACAAAAAGCAATCAATATAATTCAAAAGTCTTCTTTAAATAGAAGAATACAAGTGTTCCATGAGTCTAATTTTAATTTAGGACCAGGGAACATAAAATTCTATGTGGGTCAATGAGGAGATTCTTGCTAGGAAACAAGGCAACAGGTAAAAAGATAAGTATTCATGTACTCTCATTTTCACTGAATAACATTTTTACCTTATTGCTGATTAGAAAAACAAGGTAAAAACAAGTTACTGTGCTACTGCATTTTGGCAGCCCTAGGCATAAACATGTCAAAGCATAATAACATTAAATCAAAATTCAAATACCTTGTGGGTATTCAAATAGCTACAGGCTATTTGTTCAAAACAGATTAGCTTACTAGAAACAAAAGTAGAAAGGTGATCAAGTAAATGTAAATACTTTTCCAAACAGTTTTTGATGACTTCATTAAAAACTTACATTTAGATTTAAGTAGAGACATCAGTGTTATTTTCATACTATCAAGGTGTTTTGGTTTTTGGTGGGGGCAGCTGGTTGGTACAGGGATCCAAACCCCTGACCTTGGTGTCACAAGGCTGTGTTCTAAGTAACTGAGCTTAACTAACTGAGCTAACCGGCCAGGCCTTCATATTATCGAGGTTTTTATACTCATTATTTTTATTAAAAATAGGAACAAATATTAGAAGTAAATAAGTATATCAGTAACCTCTTGATCTGTATCTTGAATATCTTCAGGTGACACCGAAGAACATGGTGCTTCAAAACTCTGAAATGAAAGCAATTTTATTAGTTAGGAATGAAACATACACCTAGAGTAGGATTTTAACCTTGGCACTACAGTATTAACATTTGGAGTCAGATAATTCTTTGTTTGGGGGACTGTCCTGTGCATTGCAGGATGTTTAACAGCATCTTTGGCCTCTACCCTCCAGATGTCAGTAGCACTACTCACCCATCCCCAATCCTGACAATCAAAAATGTCTCCAGACATTGCCAAATGTCCTCTGAGGGACAAAATTGCCCCTAGATGAGAAACTGTTTCTGGATTAGAAAAACCCCATTCTAGAAAGTCATGAAATATTGTAGTAATTCTTTAGGGCTTACTCATTCATACATTCCTAATACTCATATTCTAAGAACAAAACTACATGCTCCCCTAAGAAAGAGAAAGAACCATGGCAAAGGTAAACAAACTAGCCTTCAGTGGTAGAAAACTTTCATCTAGGAGTAACTGAGCCATTTCTAAAAGTGCCATGACAAAATAACAAAAGGAACTTGAGGATTATAATACTGCTGAGGGGGAAAGCCTGAAAAAATGCATATATTGTATGTGGTTAGAAGACCAGAGAGGGTTTGTATTTTATTTTTTTATCTCCTAACAGGTTAATAATCTCTCTATAAATTCCACCTTTCCACTGGCACTTTTGCTGAGTGGATGAGACCTGACTTTTCACATACAAGTGACAAGAAGCTCAGTAAAAGAACTACTGAACCAAATCATCCTCGAAGATAACTCCAAATGCACATGTATTTTACATGATGCTATTTGATATAAAAGACAGACCCTCTTTAAACAAGTACATCATATGCAGAAATGGAATTACTGGGAATTCAGCTTCCACCCTAAATTTCCACCATCAAACTTCTCATGATGTAATGCCAAACATATCACACACACAGGCCCATTATAGCTTTATTACTCCATGACCCTGAGATATAATCCCTTCTCCATCTGATTTTAAACTTTACTAGACATTTACAGTTCTCTTAAACTACGAAGTGCTAAGCAAGCTAGAGATTATGATCAGAACTTCCTACAGCTCTGACATTCTAAGCCTCTTTATTCTCTTCCTTAGGTCACCACTATCCTTTGTTCTCTTTGACCACATGCCACTTCCAGTGACTTTAATGAATTTTTCTATCACTCACTCAACAATCCTGAAAAGTTCGTAAATTGTCCCTAAAAACTTCATCCCTATTACAAATGGAAGTCTTAGTGGGCACTGAATAGTTTGCTTTTCCCTACCATGCTTTATTAAATACATGGATTGGGATAAAGCCTTCCCTGGGGATGACGAAAGGGACTGTCAACAATGAGGATAATAATGGATTTATCTACCAAAGTGACTCTAAACAAAAAACACAAGTATATTGCTTTCCTGATTACATTTCAGTGGCTCTTTTCCATCTACAGGATACAAGATAAAATAACAGTCTTCCCCATGAAACGCAAAATCATCTATCGTCTGGACCCTGGCTTCCTTTCCAATTTACTTTACACATCTGGACTCTAGTCATACTGAACAACCTAACGGTCCATGTACCTTCCTGCCATGCAATTTCACAACTCTGTGCCATAACACAGACTGGCCCTCTATCCTGGCTGCACAGCATTTCTATTCCTCGCTATACATGTACTTCAAGACAAAGCTTAAGAATTTACACTTTAGTGAGTCCTTCCTTAACTCATCCAGAGATTTACACTAACACCATGACCAATTCACAGGGCTCTGATATTTATTTCACTGTATTACAATTATATTCATTTACTGATCTGCCTCCCCGGGAACCTCTTGAGGGTGATGATCACCTTATTCATCTCTAAATCTCTAGCATCGATGCAAGTGCTTAATATGTAATAGTCGTCTTTAATTAATACTTGATAAACTAATGAATTCCTACCTCACAGACTTGTAAAAATTAAATAGGATGCTGTTTTTTAAAATGGCCTATAAACCATAAATCTCTAGAACATTAATTTGCAATGTTAGGGAGTGCAATCTGGGAGGAGTCTATATCAAAGGACTACAAAACCTAAAAAACAAGTTATTTTCTCTTTAGAAAAGCATAACAGGATTACTAAATAACAGGATTACTATATCCATAAAACACAATTATTTCCTTGTAAACTATTTTAGGAAAATAATTATCTACTGAGGAATTAGTGAATAAAGCAAAGCAACAAACATGGTATTAAGATGATTATCTATCGTCAATAACATACTGAAGATAATATACTCAAGGTAAAGACAATACTTACTTGATGTTCCAGCGCCTAAACGAATTTAAGTCAAATAATGCTGCTATCAAAAGAATAGTTTATAAAGAGTTTAATTCCAATAACTGGGAAGTAGTCATACAAAAATTGCTTGCCCTACAACCTAATTAATATTCATGCTATGTACCACTTTTGGTTTATGTAGTAATTCTATACAGAGACCAAAAGAAACTATAAGAGGCACTTCAGAGATTTCTCTTACTGTTCCTTAGATATACAACACGAGGTGAACACCAAGCAGTGATACAATGATGGTCACTGAATGTACTGGCAACTTGAAGCTCCTTCTTTTCATTCAACTCTAGAGAACTGGTTATAACACAGGAAGAAAAACTGGAGGTTTTTTCCTTTAAGAAAGCAGTAAAAAGAGCAAACTCAATTATTTCCCTCTTCGGGCCCCTTCAAGTTCACCTGACCTACAAATACTCCCTCTCAAGCTCTTGTAGGCTCCTTAGTTATAATCTCTCCATTTTTTACAAGAAATATCTCACACTGCAATCTATGGTCTTAATTCCTAAAAGCAGGTAGTTTTAACCACCCCTGTTCATATGCAGTCTCTAAATTTCAGAATTTCTGAAGTTTCAAAGTTCTTAAGTTCCAAAGTCTAAAAGTTCTCAAGTTCCAAAGTCTAAAAGTTCTCTTGAAGGTAAACAATTTGCCATAGAAACAAAGCTAGAGATATTAGGTTCTCAAAGTAGTCCACGAATGCCAATCTATTACATAATTTAGAAGCAAAATAGTTGTGCCAAGCTTTCCAGCCTGGATCTCTGCTCACACAGTTCCCTCTGCCTGGAACATCTCTGCTTCTCCCATCTCACTTGACTTCACATTCACCTGAGTAACTCCTGCTTATTCTTAAATTCTCAATTTAAATGATACCCCCTCCAGTAAATCTTTCTTAACTAATCCCTCCATGGTGTACCATGCCTATGTTAAACCCATGCTGTGTATTCCCATACTTAGTATTAAGTACTTCTAGTTAAGGAAATTGCTTGTGTCTCTCCTCACATGAATACATCTCTGAAAACAGAGAATGCATGTCCCTCACAGGCTATTTTAACACAGTGCGTGGCACATTAACTTGTTAAAAGAATAAAGCCTTCAGTGTATTAACCCCTGAGTGTTCTCCAGAATCTGGAGTTGGAGAAGAACCTGAGAGTGTTGTAGTGCTTCTTTCAATGGACTACCTGTAACTGCTTCTTTCCACATTCTCTTCCCCCCTGAGTGTTCTCCAGAATCTGGAGTTGGAGAAGAACCTGAGAGAGAGTGTTGTAGTGCTTCTTTCAATGGACTACCTGTAACTGCTTCTTTCCACATTCTCTTCTATTATGAATCCTTGATATCTACCAGAATATCTTTCTAAGGAAATGGAATTAAAAAAAGAAAAATAAAGAAACCAACACATATCTTCATGACTAAATTTGAATCAGTCCTCTATGGTTATTATCAGTAACAGAAACAACTAAAACTTGACTATATTAAAGCTCTTTGCTGAAACCTATGTTCCTCATTTTGTACTGCCTTACCTGGGTTAGGTTTTTACTAGAACTTGAACCATTACTTTCTTGATGCTCATAATCATATTTCACTTTCCACTCATGAACAGTCTGTTTACATGCAGAATCTGAAAATAAATGTTCAGTTTTATGCCTCGTCAAATTTAATGAAAACTGGGAGCTTTCCAGGCATTCTTTTCCCTTCTGCTTAGTCTTTGACTTGTTAGAATCTAAACTGAAGACATTTTCATCTCCAACCTTCTGGAGGGTATCATTGGATTTTACTGGGATTTTGAAATTGATCTTCCTTCTTCTAGATTCAAAGCGTTTCTGAATTATCTTGTTGGGATTATAATCTTGTGAAAATTGATTTCCCTTGCAGTTCTCTGAGATGCATTTTTCAGAACGGTTTCTAAATTTATTTTTCTTTTCTTTCTTGAGTTCTTTCACCTTCTCCCACTGAGCAAGTAACTGAGGCCATTTCTTTTCACTTGCCTGGCCTTCAGCTTCAGGTTTCACATCTTTGGCAGTCTTAGGATTGCTAAGGTTTTTAATTACATGGTCATGCTTACTCCTAACATTTGCCAATTTAATATCGTTAAGTTTAAAATCTACACATTTACTCCTATCTTTTTTAGTTCCATTTGAGGAAGTACTCTGTGAAATAATGTGATTATCCTTTGAATATGTTGCTTCTTGGAGTTTAATAGATCCTTGGAATGAAGAGCTGCTTTTGGGTCTCTTTCTGGGAGTGTCAATTTCTGTATTCAATCTGTAAAGAAACACAGAAACCTACATTATACTACAATTATACATTTTAAAAGTCCTTGTAGTTCTCTGGGCATTTTCATATTCCTATTTTATTTGCTTTTCACAATAGCCCTGTGCTACATATTCATAGCAATCTATACATCATGTTTATGGTCATAATTAACAAAAACTCAACACTGTAATACCTTTTAAAGACCAACAAAATTAAATCTTAAAATTACCCCTTGTCAAGTAGTTTTGCCAAATGCTATATAATGTAGTTTTATATTTGCAACCGAAAACATTAAACTTCTGGAATCTTTTTAGATAAAAGACACATAGCAAATATTTATTTTTCGTGAATGACTTAGTGTTAAAATCAACCCAGCTGAAGCTGAGCATCACCATCCTAGATTGAACTCTTGGAATGCAAAAATAAATGTGAAATTTTGTCAAATTAATTATTATAATTAGACTATTTTAAAATTTAGTAACCAACATTTAAAAATACAACATACTGGGGCCGGCCTGGTGGCGCACTGGATAGTGCGCCGCTTGGGAAGCGCGGCGGCGCTCCCGCCCGAGGGTTCGGATCCCACATACAGACCGGTTCCCGCTCACTGGCTGAGCGAGGCGCGGGAGCAACACCAAGGGTTGCGATCCCGTTGCCAGTCCCGGTCCGGTATGGGGGCGACACTGAGGGTTGCGATCCGTTGCCGGACACGGAAAAAAAAAAAAAGACAAAAAAATAAAAAATAAATAAAATAAAATAAAATAAAAATACAACATACTGCAGGAACAATAGGTTTTCAACATTATTGGTTGAAAAATATGACATACTGCAGGAACAATAGTTTTTCAACATTAATCAGTTGATAAGATTGCTCTGTTGGTCATCCTAAAGCATATTAGGATACTAAATTACACACACACTTTCAACTTAGGTCAATTGAAGAAAAAGGTATTATTTTGGCTAATTCTGCTAATAACAGGTACAGAGGATGACAATATTACCATCTCTCTCATAGTAACCGAGGTAAAAACTTATCTTCTTTTCAACTACTGGACTTAAAGAGTTCATCAATGATGGGGCCGGCCTGTGGCTCACTCGGGAGAATGTGTGCTGATAACACCAAGGCCAGCGGTTCAGATCCCATATAGGGATGGCCGGTTAGCTCACTGGTGAGCGTGGTGCTGACAACACCAAGTCAAGGGTTAGGATCCCCTTACCAGTCATCTTTTTTTTTTTTTTAAAAAAAAGAGAGAGTTCATCAATGATGACAACACTTAAGAAATCCCACAAACCAAAACTGTGCATCCATTGCTTGAAGAAATACTTTCCGAATACTGAAAGCTTCCTAAATATTGAAAGCAGATTACAATTGTTGCCCTTGCTTATATTTTTATTGCTTATTGCTTTCATATACTTAAACCATGGAACAGGAATTATGGTAATGGTGCAATGTATCTGGCTTCCCACACGACAAAATTCTGAGTTTCTATCTGCAGCTTGGCTTTCACTGTTTGCACACCACTTTCAGAACCTTCCCTGGAGATGAATTAATAGGGAGATTTTTACAGAAGATGCTATTTACCTTATAAGAATGACTTAAAACCTTAAGGAAAATAAGTGTCTACTTCTCCAACAAGTAAATGACAACAGTAAATGAACCACCTCTTGTAAACATCCAATGGTTATTAGAAATCTGCACTGTTGTCATCAATGTCTACAAAGTATAGTAATACAGCTTTCTTCTATTCAAGCAAACTTTTTTATTTTTTTTGGTGGCTAGCCAGTACAGGGATTGAACCCCGGACCCTGGTGTTATCAACACCATGCTCTAACCAACTGAGCTAACTGGCCAGCCCAAATTTTTAAATATATAACAGCTCCTATACCATATTGTTTGAATATCTTGTATAAATACATGACAAAGCAGTTCTAAAATATTTTATATGCCATATAGTTTGTCTTTAGAGAAGATTTTCACTGAAAGTTACCTCTGGAGTGCTTGCCTGCATTTGAAAGTAAACATTCAGATAACAACAATAAATCGAGATGACATGCCTTGTTCATACTACTGATGTTGTTACACTGATGAGATACGATGGTAACCCACACAAAGACATGGTGACTGATCACATATGGGTTTCAGGCATGCCAAAACGTTACTGAAGCAAGCACTCAACTACTCAGCATTCTGAAGGCTGAAGTCAAACAGCAGATTTTTAATAAATACTGAGTCCGTGCTGAACTTCAGTGCATCCTTAGAATAATTTAAATCCTAGTCTCAAAAGAATTCAATAACATTATTTCTTCTTCCTCCCAAAGACTATATGGACATGTATAAGGGGAATAGTAAGGGGGTAGTATATTGATCAGAAGTCTACTTACATTTTGGGCCAAGCCCGTGGCGCACTCGGGAGAGTGCAGCGCTGGGAGCGCGCGGGTTCAGATCCTATATAGGGATGACCGGTGCACTCACAGAGCTCACTGGCTGAGCGTGGTGCAGCCAGTCTCAAAAAGGACAAAAAAAAAAAAAGAAGTCTACTTACATTTTATCCTCTTATATACGGATATAAAATCAGGAGCTAAAAAATGTGCTCTTAAGCAAAAGGTAATTAGTGAAAAGTCAAGTAGTGTTTTAGAACTTAAAATTTTTTAAAAAGAGGATATCAGTGCAAAACACATCAAACATCTAGTTTGAAAATTTTAGCAGGTAATAGTCAATATAACATGAAATCTGTGATAGAATATACTTCAACAGATGATACCAAAGCAAAGTACCCAAAAAAACAGAAGATGATTCAGAAGGAAAACTGACACAACAGTCAGAGGCAAGTTGGATTTTTTTTATTTTTTGTTTTTAGCATTAACTAAGATTGTTTGGGAAGCTGAACTTTCATTTATATATTATTTTTCCATAACTCCCTATCTTCAGAGAAACCTTGATCTTACCAACTTACAATTATACTTTTTTATACTTATTAGTCCCCATTAGTGGCAAGAAATTCCTTTACCACACAATTCTCTGAAATTTTTATCCAAAGAATGCATAAACTAAAGAAAAATAATTTCCATTACTCTTTTTATCGTTCCCCAAGTTCTCTAGCTGTAACCACATTCTGGTTAATTAACATGGTTTTAGAGTCATACTCATATTTTTGTTGCTTTTAATCCTGCTATTTACTAGATCTCCTTACAGTCACTTAAGCTCTCTGAGCCATCGTATCAATGCAATAAGTTACGTATTCTTTTCACAGGTAATATGTAAAGATGATTCATCCAAAATTTCTAAATTAGCCTCATAACTTCTTCTACTAGCTTGTGAAATGAAGTTATATATCTTATAATCCAGTGACAAAATCAAATCACTTAAGATAAATATCTACATTTTATTTGAGTATCATTTCCACAACAGTTTTGAGTTTTTTATTTCACTTAACTTTTTCTTAGATGTACAGTAATATTAAGAAAATTCAATAATCATAATCTGTGACACAGCTAGAGATATTTGCATGCAAAGCAATACTAATCAAAGTAAATATAAGATTTTCCAAATCTGAATATTTAGTCTCACAATTCTAAGCCAGAAAAGTAAGAAGATATCAAAAAGGGGGGGGGGGGGGGGACTTACCTTTTCAGCTCTTGTCTTCTTTTTGTATTACAATATGGAATGTCTGTATGATCTGATTTCTGAAATTAAAAAATGCCTATCATTTAGGAAATATAAATTGTGCACTGGTACTGTAGTTATAAGGAAAGGAGATTGGGAAACAATATTTTTTTCCCATAGCTATATATGAGTGAATAGGCTGACATCATAATTTACTTAATCCTTCCAATAATCTTGTGAGACAGATATCATCATCCCCATTTTACAGATAAAGCAGCCACGGCTCAAACAGAACTAGGTATGTTCCTTAATGTCACAGAGCAAGTCAACAGCATACCAGGACTTGAAATCAGATCTGTTTCTACCATCTTGTCTATGTACTTTAGGCATACAGGGCCAGGCATGAGAAAGATAAGAGAGACATAAGATATACGCTCTGTCCGACATAATTTAGCGTAAAATAAAAGGATAAAGACAAGAGAAGTAGAAGGATATGTACAAATAACCTAATGTAAGGATATAACTAAGTGTCAAAGCAGAAGAACAGCCCAGAAGGGCTAAAAGAGTACAAAGGTGCCTAGGGGAAAAAAGTGGATAAAATATATAAAACGGAAAGATGGGTAAAAGAAGTGGCCATTTGAGGTGCGGAGGCAGGGGAAGAAAATTGGATGGTCAAGGTGTGACCAAATTTGAGAGGACTCAATGACAAACTAAAATAGTAAGATTTTTAATCAGAGGTAAAATGTAATGAAATCAGTGTTTTAAGAAGGTTAATATAGCAACAGTAAATTGACACAGCAGTTTAATTATATGAAAACAAACAAGTAAATTCTTAAAAACACAATTCTGTATCCCTGGAAATTTTGCTACTTTCTCTTATACCCACTACAACTATGTAGCTATCTTGGATATACACTTAATAGTAACATCAACTGAATGTGGCAAGTACTTTACCAACCACCCATGGACTAGCTTAATGTATTTAATTTGCTATCACTGTTTCTAATTATTTGTGTGAGAGTGGAAAAACTCTGGACTTGGCTCTGTTGTTATATACAATTTTGCCTCCTTGGACAAGTCTTTTTCTGGATCTCAATTTATGAATCAGAAAATACAAACAATATATCTGCCTTGGCTACCTCAAAAAAAAATTGTAAAGACAAATACAAGCATATATGAGAAGACTTAAAAATTGTCTAAATTTATATTTGTTTTGTCTAACCCCACATGGTAGGGTCTATCAGCACAAGAAATAAAGAACTTGATAAATGCTTCTGGTGAACAGAAAGAAGAAAAAAACAAACATTGGTTTTCTTTCTATTGGCTATCAAAAAGTAAGTAGAATAGAAAGAAAAAATTATGAAAAAGCAATGAGGGAAAATTTATATCATGAACCCCTAACTGTACATAAAAACTTTAAATAATTCTTAGATAGTTATGGTATCTAAAAACTTACCAGTTTTCTCTTCTCTGATGAAACCGATCTAAAAGAGTGAGCTGAGCTAGTTAAACTTGCTGAGGTGTTTTTCTCTTCCTTGTCCTAAGAATGCCATTTGGGGGGGAAAAAAAAAAAAACAAGAAAAACATAAAATAAGGCACAGTAAAAAACAGCATTATTTCATCATTGTTATTATAAATCAACATTCCCATTCCATAATGAAATTCAGAGGGGAACAACATCTTGAAATTCAGAGGGGAACAACATCTAAAGACACACAAACTTTGGTAACAACTAGAAATAAGAAATCCTAGGTGCTCATGAATTTTAGATGAGATGGGATACAGGTGTTATAGCAGCTCAGGCAAGAGCGTTGTGAGGCGGCACTGCCATTGCAGGTCTCAGTCTTCTACAAAACAAAACCATATATCCAGTTATTTTTCAATGGATCTTGAATTCAACAGACCTCAGACAAACTTACTTCGAGTACCTACCACATACCAAAGACATTCTAGACATGGAGAGAGATTAATGAAGAAACAATAAAAGTCTCTGCCTTCATGGGGGTTAAAATCCAGTGCAGGAATTTACAAATAAACAATAATATATTTAGTGTGTCAGATGATGCTATGGAAAAAAAAATAAAGCAGAGAAAAGGGGCAGGCCGAGAGCTCAAATGGTGGGGGGTTACAATTTTAAAAAGAGTAGTCAGCAAAGACCCCACTGATAAGTTGACATATGAATGGAGGCCTAAACTAAGTGAAGAAACAAACCATGTGAATATCAAGTGAAAGAATCTTCAGTTCAAAGGTAATAGCAGCAAGGGCAAAGCCCCAGGGCCAGGAAAGTGCCTGGCTTGTTGGAACAAGCTCACAGAGGCCATGTAGTGGAAGAGCAAAGGGGAGAGTAGGTGGCTTTGTCAACCCCAGCAAGGATGTTACTTTTCACTGGATGAAGCGGAGAAGCACTAGAAAATACTGAGCAGAAGAATGACATGATCTGATCTATATTTTAATAAAATCACACTGGCTATGTTGAGAACAGACCACGAAGAGGCAAAAGCAGAAGCAGGAAGGTCAATCTAGAAATTATTGAAATAATCTAGGAAAACAAGATGATTGCTTGGATCATGGGGTGAGCAGTAGAAGTAGTTAGACTATGAATATATTATAAAGAGAAAACTGATAGAATGTGCTGATATACTGGATGCAGGTAGAGGATGACCACAAGGGCTCTGGCCTAAGCAACTGAAAGAATGGAAGTGCAATTTACAAAATTGAGGAAACTGAGCCTGGACACTTGAAAGATTACAGTTTAAGAGTATGAGGAGGAGCCAGCAAAGGACTGGTGACTGCCAGTGAGGAGGAAAATCAGGAGAGTTACGGTGTCTCAAAAGCTAAGTAAAGAAAATGTTTCAAGGAGAAGGCATAATCAGCTATGTCAAATACTGCTGATAGCTCAAGTCAGATGAGGTCTTAGAACTGACTAATGAATTTAGCAACACGGAAATCATTGCTGGCCTTGATGACAGCATATCTGGAGGAATGACGGCAAGAAAAGTTCTGATTAGTGTAGATTTAGGAGGAAATGGGAGGGAATTGCAAACAGCTTGCCAATTACTAATGGCAATTAGGGGAGGGGGGAATAAATCAAGGACACTAAAGTACTATCTGGCCATGCTCCAAGGTCCCCTTTCCAATTATCTCCATACATGAAAGACCAGATTAGTAATCAGAAAGTTAATAACGCAAGCAAGGAGCAAACACCAAAAATGCAATGGTATCTGGAATATTTCTGGAACCTTTCATGCAGGTCATGAAAAAGTCTTATGAACTAACATGCTACCACAGAAATCACTCCTTTAGTGAATATTCACCTTTGCCAGATTAGTCTCTCATCTTGCATAGTAATACAGCATTAGTACTTCTGATTCTGATGATGAACTATATAGGAGGGTACTTCAAAAAGTTCATGAAAGGATTGGTATTATCTTTTAATTCTATTACTCCATGAATTTTTTGAAGTACTTACGTACAGCCTATTCAGAGTATACAATAAGACTGATTATAGGATTGTTTGTTTGTTTGCTTTGGTTATATCAATCACATTGCAGTATTGCTTCCTGGAGACAATACCCAACTCAATTAATGGGATATCCTAAATTTCATCTACAAAAGTACTTCTTAAGGCAGTGCACTGAAAGTAATAGAGAAAGGAACATGGTGAGCATGTCTTCCCTACTATTAGCCCCCCAGGCATAAAGCTGGCCATTCTAATTGATGAGAGTACAATCCTAGACAACCCTGAGGAAATAGAAAAGGGAGTAAATGTGGAAAATGGTCTAACAGTGAGTTATTTCTATGAATGGGAGGATTTGGGGAGCGTAGAATTGAGGCGAGGAATGCCTACGCAAATTACTTTCCTCTAAGTAACTACCCTCTAAGCTTTATTTGTGTAATTGGGATAACAATAGTACCTACCAAAAAAGTTGTGAGGAATAAGTAAAATAATGCAAGTAAAGAATGAGAAAAGCAAATGACTTCTCCTGGGTCAGGTAGGCAGAACAAAATATTTACATGTTTCATTGTAAAATGACGTGTTATTTTTTTCATTACACAAAAATTGTAAAAAAAAAAAAATAAAAAGTATCTTTAGGTCAGTAAATCAGAATTCTTACTTCTTCATCAAAGCTGGGTAATGAAGTGGTGGCTTTTCTCTGAGACTTCTCTTTTTTCCCACAAGATTCTTTGTTGGACATCTTGAAAAGCTAAAATAAACACCAAAAATACATTCTCTGTTATTTACCACAATAAAAAATATATTAGAAATTAGTCTTCTTTTAATTACACAAAGATTAAAGTTTTATAAAATGATTTCCATTTTCTAACCATTCCCAAGATGAAAAGATTCTTTCATTGTTCCATTTTTCTTCACTTACATTCTCCTTCATAATGATCTGTTCCTCGGGCCGGCCCCGTGGCTCACTCGGGAGAGTGCGGTGCTGACAACACCAAGGCCACGGGTTCGGATCCTATATAGGGATGGCCGGTTTGCTCACTGGGTGAGCGTGGTGCTGACAACACCAAGGCCACGGGTTCGGATCCTATATAGGGATGGCCGGTTTGCTCACTGGGTGAGCGTGGTGCTGACAACACCAAGGCCACGGGTTCGGATCCTATATAGGGATGGCCGGTTTGCTCACTGGGTGAGCGTGGTGCTGACAACACCAAGGCCACGGGTTCGGATCCTATATAGGGATGGCCGGTTTGCTCACTGGGTGAGCGTGGTGCTGACAACACCAAGGCCACGGGTTCGGATCCTATATAGGGATGGCCGGTTTGCTCACTGGGTGAGCGTGGTGCTGACAACACCAAGGCCACGGGTTCGGATCCTATATAGGGATGGCCGGTTTGCTCACTGGGTGAGCGTGGTGCTGACAACACCAAGGCCACGGGTTCGGATCCTATATAGGGATGGCCGGTTTGCTCACTGGGTGAGCGTGGTGCTGACAACACCAAGTCAAGGGTTAAGATCCCCTTACCGGTCATCTTTAAAAAAAAAAATAAATCAATAAAATAAAAAATAAAATAAAATAAAAAAATAATGATCTGTTCCTCTATTTTAGCTTCATCTATCACCTTTTCAGGAATGACTCTCAAAACTATGCCTTGAGCCCTGACTTCTCTCTTAAGCATCAGATCACTTTTCAAACAGCCTGTAGTACTGCTATACTTTGCCCCACCTACACCTCAAAATCAATTAGTCATAACTTTTCATTTTTCCCAACACACCCCTGTCAGTCACTGAGTGAGACTTCTGGCAAATGGCACACATTTTTTCATTACATATAAAACAGAGATAATACATCCCAGAGGATTTTCAAAGGACTTAAACAATGGATATAAAAATTACCTTGCACAGGGTGGTACATAGTAGGGTCTAAATAAATACTTGCTAGGGCCAAGCCCGTGGCGCACTCGGGAGAGTGCGGCGCTGGGAGCGCAGCAGCGCTCCCGCCACAGGTTCGGATCCTATATAGGGATGGCCAGTGCGCTCAGCAGTGTGGCCGTCTCAAAAAGGACAAAATAAATAAATAAATAAATACTTGCTTATGTGTTGTCTTTCTACTAGACCCTAAGCTCCTTGAAGAGTATGCTGTATTAAACATTTAAGAGGTGCTTATAAATGACCACTGAGTGAATGAATGAGTGAATTCTTTTTCCTCAGAATATTCATGTTTTCATTCTGAGCCACTTCCAATTCTTGCCCATTGCAGTTCCTCTGCCCACTTCTCATCCCAGTCTCACTTTCCAGCCCTTCTCTGAACCAAGTCACTACTATCAGCTGACAACCAAAAAAAAAAGGCAATAAGACAAACACAGCCACACCCTATGGTCATAAACAGTCTCAAGTTAACGCATACCAGCAGCATCCTGTGCTGGGACACAGTAGCCAGAGATTGGGAAGATTGGAATTACAGGTAATTCCAATCACTCCTGGTCAATCATGATCAATGTAGGTGAAGTTCTAAAAAGAATAATCAATTTTACTAAATCAAACTTTTAGAATGCTTTAGTGAATATAAAGAGAAAGAAGAAAATGCTGATAGCTAACAAATCTGATAAAAAAAATTAATAAATGAATATTCAACACAGATTTCTAAGAACATATTCTAAATTACCCAGAAATTTTGCTTTGTAAGATAGTTTATGACAATAGTTAAGTTCACAGTTGAGCTTCCAGATTAGAGTAATAATCTTCTTTTCCTTTTCTTGCCCAAGATTCCATTCCATGGAAGAAAAAAGGCGCAATAAAATATAAGAACTTTTACGAAATGCACTGTTTAGAGGCAACTAACTGGTTATAATGTAATGTTACCTTTTACAATTTAAACTGATCCATGCCACCAAGGTCATGGGTTCAGATCCCTGTACCAGCCAACAGCCAAAAAAAACCACAAGAAAACCCCTAAAAATAAAATAAACAGATCCATGCTGCTCTGATGTTGTTGTTTTAAATACATAGTAATGCTAATTTAACGCTCTTAATCACAAGATAAGTTGAAAAAGAACAATGCAACCAGAACCAACTTCCAGGCATGTGACTACACCACCTCTGTTTTTTTTTTTTTTTTTTTTTTTTTTTTTTCACACCTGAGACTAAAATGGGCTTCCCTCTCCTTTCCTGCTGCCTGTAACATTCAGACCGGTCCCAGGCAAGGCAACCAGAAAACTCGAGTTTTTCACCACCCAGTGGGCTTATCGGAGAAAAAAAGGAGAGAAGGAGTCAGACTTAAGTGCCAAGCAGGTCCAGAGAGAGAAGGGGAGAAAGTACAGGGCGCGGAGAGCAGATAGGGGACTCGCTGGCATATGCCTCGCGGAATCTGAAACGCATCAATCAGCCCCGATGCTCAACACACTCAGAGCTCCGATTACTAAAGTCCTAAAAACAAGATAAAACATGGCAGAAACCCCAATCCCTACCCACTGGACGCTAACACCACCACCGCAGCGGGGCTGACACTGGCAATTCTGAACGCCAAAGCAAAAATAAAAACAAACGGAAAGAGTGTTTGGGTCACAGCGTGGGTGAGGATGGGAATGAAGAGCAGACCCTAACTCTAAGCCAGCCTGACTGACAGGCAAGCTCGTCAGCGGCTCCCCAGAAACCCACAGGACCCTCACGTCGGGCGAGGAGCAACCCGGGAGGAAGGGCCGAGCCAGAACCACACCCTCCACGGAACTACTCGACCCTGGATCCGCCTACACAGTCGCCCCGCCCAGGCTCAAGTGACTCCCGAGTTCCTAGTCCGGCCTGCGGCCCGCTAGGGTACGTGAGGCGGGGGGCGAGGGGGAACCTGCCCACAAAACGTCAACGCACCCCCCAGTTTCCTACCTTACCAGCGCCGGCGGCGGTGGCGACTCTAAAGGCCCACGCTAACGGAAAGGGACCGCCCGCTCCCCGAACCCGATGACAGCTGGGAAACGTAGTCCTGCGCGCGGCTGCACGTTACCAGCCACACTCCCCACGTTACCAGCCACACTCCCCGGAACGTTTGGTCAGATTTGCATTAATATCCTCCGGGGACTCGGAACCCCGGCCCCTCCCCCAGACGGCGCGGTGCACCCTGGGTATTGTAGTCTTGGTTCCGTTCGGTGGCGGACCGCTGGAACGGAGACGCACGGTGGAAACGCAACTCTCTTACGCCATTGGACGCCGACCGCAGTACGCTTCTGCGCAATCTGTGGTGGCGTCTAACGCCTCGGGGAAAAGGAAGCGGACGGGGACTTCGAATCGCTGCCTCTGGCTTTCTCCTTTTTCGCTGACAGGATTTGGCCCGTGGTTCCTCATCTTTTGTCTGTTACACGCATCCCGCCCTCCCCATTTGCTTTCCCACTCCTTGGATCCAGCCCTGTGGGCATTCACGTCAGTTCTCTCACCCCGCCGTGAGTCCCCTCCTGGTCCCGGGCGGGCCTGGCACGGAGGCGGTAACTATGGAGAATATGGCGGAGGAGGAGCTGCTACCCCTGGAGAAGGAGGAGGTAGAAGTGGCCCAGGTCCAGGTCCCGACCCCGGCCTCGGACTCGGCTCGGGTCCCAGCTTCAGCTCCGGCCTCGGCTCCGACTCCGGCCCCGGCTCCGACTCCGGCCCCAGCCCCTGCCCTGGCCCAGGCTCCGGCCCTGTCCCCGTCCCTAGGCTCTGCCCCTGAGGAGGCCGAAAGCAGTAAGTGCAGGAGGCCCAGATCTTTCTGCCCCAGAAGAAGCGAGAAAGTGCGCCTTGCTGGGAGTAGGGGAGGCCCTTCATCACTGGAACGGTTTTTACGGGGAGAGGCAGGTTTAGGAAAATGGGAGGGAGGAAAGAGGAACCCGTGTAGCGGGTAAAACAGGAGTACAGAACGGGAAAAGGCATTTCCGTAAACCTCGAGGACATCACGGTCAAGGATATGTGGAGGCCAGGGGTGCTGCAGGACATAATGAAGTTAAGGGTTTCTTCCTTAAAGGGGTATACTTATAGTACAAAAATAGGAAATTACACAAGATTCGGTTTCTTTCTCAGCCAGCCTGCCATGGCTAAGTCCTTTAAAATGTGACCGCGTAGCCGAGGCAACCTGTTTACAGTAGTAGATCCTAGCTGCCAATGTTTAGACACCATTACTGCCAACGAGCTTTTCTGCCCCGGCGTAAACAAAGAGATGGGTTTTTCTCATTATTTCATTTTCTTTAGCAGCTTGCTTCCAAAGAGAGTTTGATGCTGATGAGTAGTTTAGGAAAGAGTGGACTAGATTATGGATGTCCTCCCCAACTCATAAATACCGGTGGAGTTTTGTACTCCATTACATCAGAAGTGGACTATTGAAAATTAATAATCCACATTATTGTGCTTCTGAATGTGCTTGCATGTTTTCTACGTGGTGGTTTATTGGACTATATAGGAATTTAAAAGATTGATGAGTAACACTTTCTTAAGGAACTTCTGAACAATTTGAAATGTAAGGTCTGAGAAAGACTTGAAGTTCTTTTAGCAAATTATTTTGTGGTCCATAAATTGCCCTTTATGCTCTTTTTGAATTCTTTTTGAATAACTTAAAAGATCTTAAATTAATTAATAGCCTTTTCTACGTCTAGGCCAGTTTTGAATTTAATGTTTATAAAATACTTGGATATTAGTTAATAGCCTAATAGAATTATTTTGCAATTAAAAAACAACATACAAATTGTTGCAGTAGATTTAAGAGTAGGGATGATCACAGGAAAGACAAAGTCAGCATGCCTGAGGTAGGCCCCTCATCATAATGTAAGATCAGAGCTTGTAGGTGAAAAATAAGGCCAGTTATTTGTCCTTCCACAGCTGCAGTGGGTGAGGGGGCGAGTGAAGGGGTAGGAGGGCCCTGGGAGGGGGCATTACACTCTCCTGAGTAAGTAGCCTCCTGCTTTACCTCCAAATTGTATCTGTTTATATTAATCAGAAGTGTTTTAGCAGCTTTAGGGAATGCACGCTTTCTCCACTTCCCCACCATCAAAAATATGTTAAACATAGCTTGGAAAGATTAATTCATATATTCCAAAATTTACAACTGTTTTAATTTGAAGAGTATATACTGTTTGAAAATGCAGTACTGGGACAAATATGTAATGATTAAGAAATCTGAAACTTAACTAAAATATATATTAATCACATTTTTTAAATTATTTTTAGATGGTCTAGTTAGTCGTTTGAAATCAGTCATAGCTAGACAGGGTGAAGATGGCCTATCTGAAATAGAATTGAAAATTTTAAAATATATATTAATCACATTTTTAAAATTATTTTTAGATGGTCTAGTTAGTTGTTTGAAATCAGTCATAGCTAGACAGGGTGAAGATGGCCTATCTGAAATAGAATTGAAAATTGAGGAAAAAGTATCAGAACCTCCTAGCATCTTGGACTTATCTGATTTAACAAGAGGTTTGCCTGTTGACTTTGGAACATTGCAGGTTGAGTGATTTAAGTACAGATATTCTGATATCTACTATCTTGAATCAGCAGGTGATTTCAGTAAATGTTTATAGGCATATCATGAATTTTTAGAAACATCTTTGAGAGTTTTCTTCAATAGTGTATACACATGAATTCGTTTCCTGGAATATTACTCTCTGACTTAGCAATTAAAAGTTTTTGGTCAAACAGTCAAAATTTTGCCTGTTATAGAAATTATATCTCATTATAAGTAATTTGGACAATATGTGGTAGAAGATGTTAACCAATGTTTGTTGCTCTTTGTTTTTGCCCATTTAAAAATAAGTAAATCATCTTTTAATAAATTTGAGCAGGAATGTTCGATAGTGCTGAATTGGATTCCAAAATTAATGACATATGTGCCACTGCATCCAAAAAGTCTAATAATTTTTTAAAATTATAATTTAGGGGCCGGCCTGTGGCTCACTCGGGAGAGTGCGGTGCTGATAACACCAAGGCCACGGGTTTGGATCCCATATAGGGATGGCCAGTTTGCTCACTGGGTGAGCGTGGTGCTGACAACACCAAATCAAGGGTTAAGATCCCCTTACCGGTCATCTTTTAAAAAAAAAAAAATTATAATTTAACAAACCTTAGCACCTGCTGTACGCTAATTACTGCAGTAGGCACTTAGCCATCCTGAAGATGAATAAGGCATAGTCCCTGCCTTCTTACTGCTTATTTGTTAGGGAAACAAACAAGGACACAGATTATACAAATGAGTGAACAAATGAACGGAGAGTAAAGCTAGGAAAGGAATATGCAGGAAGGTGGCAGTGTCAATAACTGAATTTAAAAGTCTTAAGATTTTAAAGTGTATAACCTGATAACAGTATGAGAGAGTCCTGTGGTTTATCCCATCATTTCCTATTGCCTTGGGGATCATTGCCTATCACTTAGCATCTCCTAGTTTTATATATTCAGGCTCCTACTTTGTAAATGTTCCTTTCCTTTGGGATACATATATATTCAGGTCTCTCCATCCTTAAAAAGAAAGAAAAAGCAAGTTACGGTCTCATCTGTCTCCTTTTTTTTATGCTGCCAAACCTCTTGAAAACAATCTGCACAGATTTTCTGTATTTCTTTCTCCTTCTAATCCCGTTTTTACTCCTAAACACTTCACTGAACCTGCTTTCTTAATGGTCACCAGAGACTTGCCATACTTAATCCAGTAGTCTTCTTGATCTCTACAACTGTTTGTGATACTTAGTGTTAAGCAGTTCTCTTTTACAGACTCTTCTTCCTTGGCGTCTGCATTATCTTGATTCTCCTTACCATTATTCCTTCTGAATCCACCTTCCTGGTTGTTTTTACTCAACTTGTAAATACCTACATACCCTCATAACTCAATTCCAGATTGTATCTGTTTATGTTAATCAGTAGTGGGTTCAAATATTTAATTTGAAGAGTGTGTTAATGTTTGAGAAATCTGAAAGCACGTTACTGGGACAAACGGTAATGATTAGGAAATCGGAAATACATTAGAATTTAAAAATATGTTAATCACATTTTAAAATTAATTTTAGATGGGCTAGTCGTTTGAAATCAGTCATAACTAGACGGGACCGGGGCTTTTTCCCTCTCTTTCCATTTTTTTTTTTTTTTTTTTTTTTTGGCTTTCTTACTTGTTCTCATAGTTTCAGCTAACATGTGTATTTATTATTTGTATCTCCAGAATCCCTCCTGAGCTACAAAAACAAAATTTCAACTGCCTATTGGATATTATTACCTGAATACTCTACCAGTAGTACATAAAACACAGTCTGTCAAAAACTACACTTTCTTTTCTCTATTTCTCTTCCTTTCCATTGAAAGAGTTTCCTCTTCCTTCTTTTGCTAATAGTATTATCATTGTCAACCATATAAACTCAAAAAAAATTCTAGAGTCATCTTTGATCTTACCCTTCACCCCTACTTCTCACATCCCAAATTCTGTTGCTTCTTTTTTTTTTTAAACCTTCTGTTCTCCTGTACCTTTCCTTTACTAATTTTCTCACCTCTGTTGTTGATCCTTGGTACTACTGCAAGAGATACCCTCCTGAAATGCATTCAAATCATATCATTCACTTCCTCAAAAACCTGCCGTGACTTAGCATTGCCTGAAAAATAAAGTTCCAACTAACTTGCATAGAATTTATGCCATCTATGATCTATACTACATTTTTGGCTGCATATTTTTCTACCTACTCTATCCCCCCAAACATACTGAATTCCAGCCAAGGCTATGCTAGGGGTGGCTGTATGTTTTATACCACATAGCTTTGTTCATGTGGTTACTTCAGTTTATAGGGCCAGTCCCCAAATCTCTACTTACTGAAATTCTATTCATACCGTCTCAGTCAAATGCCACTTCTTCAGTAAAGACATTCTGATAGTCTCTTGTTAGAATTAATTACTCCTCTGTATGCCTGCATCATATTATCTTTTCTTCTAGTATTCATTTCATTCTACCTTGTATTATAGTTAGAAGTACATATTAATCTTTCTCACCTGATTGAAAGTTCTTTCAAGATAGGAAACATGGCTGATATTTCATCAGTATTTTGTACAGGGTAGAAACATTATTTTGTAAAATTATTGACTAGATAAAATTTTAAAGTCGTAAAATTATACAGTGGAGGTTTTCTCCCTAACTTTTTGCATTCCGAAGCATACTTGTCATTTTGTACAGTGAGTTGTAGAAGTATTCCTCATCTAGTACTATGGTACAGGAAATAAAAGTGTAAACTTTTATATGATGTGGTCAAATAAAAGTGAAACTAAAGTACAAATTGTTAAAGCATAATCATCTAACTCTTAAAATTTCCTTTCAGAGATACACATCTCAATTCAAAAGCAGCTTGCTGATCTAGAGAAGTTAGTTTTTGTAACGGAAGGGGATTTTGACTCCACCAATTCATTGAACTCAGATAATCTTGATGCAGGTATTTCTATGTTTTGGTTTTCTTCTTCTTAATTTTTAATGGTTTGTCATTATTCAGTTCATGAAAACAGTTTGCTAAGAATAGACTTAAGGTCAAGGGTTCAAATCCCCGTACCGGCCAGCTGCTAAAAAAAAAAAGGAGTAGACTTTATTTTTATTTAGCTAAAACAGTAAAACAGTAGTAAAATTTAAAAAAAATTTTTGAGGTTCTTTTTTGTTAATTAGTTTATTTACTAATATTATTTTTTTACATTCTAAGGTGCTATGGAACAGTTGGTGGGGAGGGAGAGATGGCAAAGGGATGGAAATAGGGTGAGAGGAGACGAATGAGGGGGGATGTGGTCAAGGCCCATGGCATTCCTCTCATTCCAGCAGAGAAGACCAGGGGGCTTCCAGCAGTGGCTTGGTAGCTGCTGGGCCGGATGCAGAAGTCAGGGGGGTGTGGCTGAAGCCCTCTAAAATTTTTCTCTGCAGGAAATTGATAGCCTTCTATGTGCAAATGTGCTATGGGAATAAATTACTTTGTAACTCCTCAAGGACATTACAATCACATGGATATTCTAAGCGTTGTATATTCTAAGTTAGGAATTGCATTTGGCTATGAGTAGCAGATCCCAAAAAACAATGTCCTGACTGGAGGTTAATACTCTCTCATGTAAAAGAAGTCCCAAAACAGGCAATGTAGGACTTCTACAAGAGTTCCACAATGTCACCAATGCCCCATGCTCTTCTTTTTCTGCTCTGCTATTTTACTAACTCTACAAGTAGTTAACTTTTTTTGTTGCTGCCAGGATATAGAGGAATACCACAGCAGATACTTATGCTCTCTGCCTAGCCCTTATTCTGTGAGTGTGATTAGAATAGTCCTTTCCCCTGTCCAAAGTACAGAGTGATGCTTTCTGTGGTAGGCAGTTTGGCTGGAAGGATATCATACAGCTTATCACATCTTCAACTTTGAGTCTGTTTCCAGTGGAAACAGGACATCAGCTAGCCACAGAGAGAAAAGTTTTAGGGTAAAAAAAAAATCACTGATCATGTGCTATAAGTTTTTAACTACTCCTGAGTCAGGAATAATGACTGCTCCTTAAAGTTAAGATAGATCTTATCTAAGAAGTCAGAGGGAAGCATGGAAGAATCCTCTGTCACCTCTTTTGTAGCTGAATCCAGGCTAGTATATTCTGTGCTTTATTGGTTCTTTTTTCTTTTAAAGGAAACAAGCAGACTTGTCCATTATGCCCTAAGGAAAAATTCAGAGCTTGTAATAGCCATAAGCTTCGTCGTCACCTTCAGAATTTACACTGGAAAGTCTCAGTTGAATTTGAAGGTTAGTATTTTTGTGCTTGCTGAAAAGCATTGTACATGAAATTTGACATTTACCAGTTTCGGAATTTTGTTGTGAGTCTAATCAAATATTTTTAGTTTAAAATTATGAGGGATTTAATGCTCCCACTTTTAATGTATTTAATAAAATGTCATATAGCTCTGTAGGCAATAGATATATATGACACAAATAGTTTAGTTCAGCAAAAATTTATTAAGCATTTGTTCTGTATTGGGTACTCTGGCCCTGAGAGTCCCTGTTGCTTATAGAACAATGTTTTTAAAAGTTATACTCTTCCTTTTGTAGTAGAACAACTACTATTTTACACATATTTTTGAAGGTATAGTAAATGTAGTAAAACAAAATAATCAGTATGAATATTGGAAAAGAGAGGACAATATTTTTTTTTCTGCTGATAGCTTAAAAAACTACTAGGGGCCGGCCCAGTGGCGTACTCGGTAGAGTGTGGCGCTTGGGAGCGCGGCAGCGCTCCCACTGAGGTTTTGGATCCCATATAGAGACCGGTCCACTCACTGGTTGAGCGCGGTGCGGGGCGACACCGAGGGTTGCGATCCTGTTGCTGGTCGCGGTACGGGCGCGACACCGAGGGTTGCGATCCCGTTACCAGTCACGAAAAAAGACAAAAAGGAAAAAAAAAAACTACTAGAGTTAACAGTATTCAGAATGGTGGTGAAATATAAGGTAAATATTCAGAAATAGTAGCCTTTCTGAATATTTATCTTATATTCAGTAACCTTTCTCTACTATAGATCAATGGAAATTAGAAAAAAGTACACCAATTATAATGATGATAAAAATAACATAATTTGGTGGAATAAATTTAACAAGAGGATTCATGAAGAAAAGAATAAAGTTGAAGGACAAAAAAATGAGATCTTGTCAAGTTAAAGACTTCCTAGATTCTGAGATAGTGAATTATGTTAATCTTGTGTGTGTGTGTGTGAGTGTGTGCGCGCGCGCGTGCGCACGCGTGACCGGTAAGGGGATCGTAACCCTTGGCTTGGTGTCGCCCGCACCGCGCTCAGCCAGTGAGCGCACAGGCCATCCCTATATATAGGATCCAAACCTGCGGTGGGAGCGCCACTGTGCTCCCAGCGCCACACTCTCCCGAGTGAGCCACGGGGTTGGCCCAAATTATGTTAATCATTATACATTTTCGGGAAAAAAAACTGGCAACATCTTTTAAAATTTAAAGTACACGTATCTATCCACCAGGCAGTTCCTCTTCTCGGAGTGCCATGGAAGTAAAAGAATCACAATAAACAAGGATGGATGTACAAAGATATTTATTACAGCATGTACTTAGTGAGGAAAACTTGAGATTAAAATAAAAGGCGTGGTTGGATAAATTATGGTACATACATGCTGTGAAATATTATGCAGCCATTGAGAAGAGTACATTAGATATATACCAGCTAATTTGGAAGTATTTCCATAATAAACTACTAATGAAATCAGTAACATACAGGGAAGATTTTATAACATTCCATATTGATAAAACAGTTCTCCCTCAAAAAAAAAAAACCTAAATATCAATCTTAATTTATATTTGTATGTGATTGTGTGAAAATAGAAATTGTTAAATGTGGTTCTGTAGAGTTTCAACCTAACTGGAAGAAACAACTAGTATGAGACACCCGGAAAAGCCTGAACTATGCCAGAACTGTTTTCTTAGCATGACTGGTAAAAGATTATCACTAGTTATTTAGGGAAAGGGGATTAGAGACTAATTCAGGGGCATCTGTCTTTGAAGTTTAGTTATATTTAAGAATGTATAGTAAATCATATTGACTTATTGTCAAAAAAGAAAGGTCTCAATTTAAAAGGTCTCTTTTATATTCTTTATTAAGGCCATTGTTTACCATTAGGTTTAGTGTCCCTCTTCCAAGTTATTCTCCTCTTTTAAATGGCTTGTGATACTTCTTTACTTATCTATGGATATGGATTCTCTCATGTACGAAAAGCTGTTAGGTTCTTTCACATGGTAGTGATTTGGGAGATGGTGAAGATATGATAATTTTTGTCTTGTGGTGAGCAGGCTTCAAAGTAGTTGGCAAATACGTTGAAAGTGGAAGGAGCAAGATCTGCTGAAGGAACAGATATGAGATGTGATAGAAAGAGAGCCAAGAATGCTTGGGTTTGGGATTTGAGCAACTAGAAAAATGAAATTGTTCTTTATAGTGCAGGGGAAGACTGCATTAGGACCAGGTGTGGGGAAGCAGGCCAGGATCTGAGACTTAGGCATGTCAAAGTTGAGATGCATCTAAGTAGAGATGTCAAGTAGTCTATAGGCTATATAAATATGGAATTTCAGGGAGAGGTGGAGCTAGAGATATATATTTAGGAGTTATCAGAATGCAGATGGTATTTAAAGCTGTAAGACTGGATGAGATAACCATACGAGTACATGTTGATGGAAAAAAGAAGTCATTCAGGGCTGAGTCCTGGGGCACTTCAACATATAAAAGTAAGAAAAATGATTAGATGTAAAGTGAAATAGAAAAGGAGTTAGAGATGACTTACATAGTTTGAGTTAGGAGTGACTGTAAGGCATTATCATTCATAAAAAAAGTAAACAGGCCTGTTCAAGAGGAAATGATAAATTTAGACTTGACAAGTAGATTTTGAGATGCTGACCAGATAATCGGTCATAGATCCTTAATAGACAATTAGAAATAGGGAAATAGCTCTAAGGAATGAGTTATTAACTAGAGCTATAATTTGGGACTCTTTCTCATAGAAGAGATAATTGTAATCATGAAAGGAGTTTAAGTTACCAGAGAAATGAGAAAAAAGTCACATAGCCGACCGAGCCTAAGAAGTATCTACATTTTAGGGTATGAGAGAAGGAAAGGATCTGTAAAGAAGATTAAGACGGGTGGGAAGGGCACCAAGATGGCACCATATCACAAATGAAGAAAAGTCTGCGTAATGGCAAATATAGCATGAGACAAAGAAGATGAAACCTAAGAAAAAGTTAAAGTGGAAGAGACTAGATGATAAAGCTGAGTCCCAAAGAAGCTTAATGGCTCATCCAAGATAAAACAGATAGTCATGGCACAACCAGAATTTGAACTTGGATCTCCTGTATTTGTTAATATATATACATACATACATATATATATATATCATATCTATAAAACCTAAAGCAATCTCATTCAAGTAAATTCATTATGACATAAACATAAGGATAATCCCAATTCTGATAAAAGTTGCTTATAATTTTTAATGATAATTAAATATTTAATGAACAGTGATATGACAACTAGCTATTCTTTGTTCTAGGTTACAGGATGTGCATCTGTCACTTACCTTGTCGACCAGTGAAACCAAACATTGGAGAACAGGTGATCAGATATTAGATTTTTTTATTTTTAAATTTAGTCCTCTTTAAAGAAAGAGCAATTTTTACTTGCATGCATGTTCAGCAGTGTGGTTTATTTTAAAATTCTGTATCTGAGTCCTTTCAGATGATCATAATAGGAAAAATATGAAGTATATGAAAAAAAGTATTGCTGTACTGAACTTCTCATTTTACGGTTTTTGATTTCAGTCAGATAAATTGCTCTCATGTTCAAAATGAAAATGAACTCATTTACTAATTTTGGAACAAAGAATTTAAATAGAGAATAATTTTTTCTTTTAAAATAAATTTTGATTATGGAATAGGAGCTTCAATTTCTGTGATTTAGTATGTTTCAACTTCATATTCATCCTCCCCATGTTCTTCCTTTTAAGTTTAATTTGCTCAAACAACAAACTTTCTGAAATCTTAATTTTTAAAAAAATAATGGTTTATTTTTAGGATAGATTTGACATAAGGGGAGTACAAACTATACAAACTATAAAATTTTTAAAATATTGACACTATCCTGAATGCATGTTAACTTAATGAGTCCTCATTATTAATTTTCCTTTTCGGTCACTAAAAACAGTAAAATGCTGGGATGAATGTGTTCCTTAGGCAGTAGTCAGGACAATCCAAGATATTTTGAATATGATAACCATAGTACCATAAGGGACCCTGTGTAATTTCTTGACTATTCTTTACTTGCTATAAGATCCCAAGTAAATGGGAGGTAGCACCGCACTAAGAGTAAAATGCATCAAAACTGGGAAAGAACCACTGGACTAGTAGTTTTGTTCTCGGCTAAATGAGAAATTATGAAATGAGATTTTTTTTACTTGGAAAAACAGACTTCTCATTATGTCCCTAACATTCACTTGGGTGCTGGAGCTGGCTCAAATTTTCAGAATCTTATGAGCTGGTTATTAAATATGGCCATCATTAAAAATTAAATTGTATAAACCTAAAATTGAATAAGTTATATTAGAAAAACAAAGGTAATGAATATTCAAAACTCAACACTCCTAATTATTTTACTACTTTTTACTGTTAACTGTTTGCTTATGGTTATTGACATCTATATATCTGCATAGTAATGCTCCATAGTGGTATGATACTGCACATCTCTTCCAAAACTCACATTTAGTGATGTCACTAGGTAGCTTAATATCTATTGCAATTGTAGCTTGAAAATTGGCCTTGGTAGAGAATTTATAGCAAAGAAATCTGCAAATACCACAAATCAGAGCTTTATTTTCCTGGAGAGCCAGTTGCTAAACATGATAACTGCTAACATTACACTATTTATAAATGCAGCTTATAGAAAATATAATATATATAGTTATTTGCTGATTAGAATGAATGGGGAAAAACTAGGAAATTAAACTTGTTGTCTATTGTGAAGTAAGATTAAGAAGCATATGTAAGTATAGGTAAGGAAGTTAAGATCCTTTCAAAGTCACTTAGCAAAATTAATAACTTCTATACCATTAAATCGAAGACACATTAACATACTCAAATTTAGAATCTTAAACTTCTATTTCATTGTCTTAGTAACTTAATTTAAATTCTCTGGTTGATAGATATCCAGTAAAATGGGCGCCCATTATCATTGTATCATTTGTTCAGCAACAATCACCAGAAGGACTGATATGCTAGGACATGTTAGGCGCCATATGAATAAAGGAGAGACTAAATCCAGATATATTGCTGGTAAGTTGAGCAATCTCATTAACATATTAAAAAGTAAATCCTTAAATAATGGTCCAGTTATTTGTTTCAGATTAGGAATTTAAAATGCACTGATTGAGCCAAATAATTTACTTCATACTAATTTATTACTTTAGGTTTTGTTTTCTTTCTTTGGGGTTTCCAATAACATTCAAATGTTCTCAACTTAATATATTTAATAAATATATTTAATAAATGATGAAGAAAAAAGTGACACCTCAAGTAAATATAGGTATCTTAATGAAAGATTATAGAATTATATTCCTAATAACTTTTACGCCAATAACTACATTTATACTTATTGTTGAAAAACACTGGGAAAAGGAGGTAAAGTGAAATAAAGACTATTATCCTGAGTGATATGAAATCATTAATACCTTGTTACTGCTTAGGAAGCCCTTCTCAAGAATTAAATTAAGACCTTATGTCCTAAAGCATCCAGTGTATGTAATTATTCACTTCTTTCCTATACTCCTGCAATGGTACTATGTACCATTCTTGTCAGAATTGAAAAAAAATGGAATTTTTTCAATTCACAGAACCTGGTTTGAGAAAGACTGATATTGTGAGATATGTGATATGCCTCTTCAGTGGGCATGGAAGAATATATAACACAACACTAGGAAAGGTTACCATTATTTGGCATTGTAGAAGGAGAAATATGGTTGCCATTAGTTAACATTCTAATTGTAATATCAAGAAATCCAAACATAAAGGTTCTCAATTATTTTTCCGCACACATTATGTATGTTTCATTTCTTAAATATTTGAACATATACACATATATACACATCATTATTTCATTTGAGTTTATAGCTAAATGATTCCAATGTATATTAAATGCAGAATCTTTTTTTTTTTACTACTTTATAGCCATTTGAAGGTAATTTGTGACTTAAAATTATGAGAAAGTTTTCTGAAGTCTAGCATTTTCAGGAAATGATAGTGATTCTTAGCCATGTTGGCTAGTGGAATGCAACCAAACAGATACTTATTTTCTAACAATTAGATCACAATAAAATATATTTAGCAGCAAACCTATGTAAACACAATGTAGTGTTCATTGAGTCATAAAAGTATTTAGGATTTTATGCTATCTTAGGGTGATCATTCTTAGGAATAATAGTACAGATGTATTGATCTGCTAGGCAGTCAAGATTTTAACTTAATAAACTTTCATTCACCACATACTTAACTGAGTGCTACTCTTTTTTAGAGGCAGTTCTGAATAAATCAGGTTTTTTTTGGTTTTTTTTTTTTTTTACATTTCTCCATGTTTGCATTAACTCAAAATAATATAAACTTACTTTTCAAAATGCATATTGTTTTAGATGTTTAGAATTATTTTGTTTCCCTGGAAATCTTTTTTTCTTTTTTTTTCCTTTCTTAGCTTCTGCTGCTAAACCGTCTAACGAAATTTTGAAAGAGGCAGACACGGATGTACAAGTTTGTCCTAACTATTCTATACCTCAGAAAACAGATTCCTATTTTAATCCCAAAATGAAACTAAATCGGTAAGATAAATTGAAAATAGGGTTGTGGGATGTTTCAAATAATTACAAATGTAACTTCTCTCAACCTTTATGTGCTAATATATTAAAACTTAAAACAGGGTACAGAATGAAAATCATCTATTTTAACATTTTGTCAGAATGATTGTTTCTTTTTTTGCCACCAAGCCAGTTTCTTTATCAGAGATGAAAATAGGCGTAACTTTGTATAATTATTGAACAGGCTTTCGTGGGCAAGTTTTATTTATAAATAAATAAGTAAGTAAATGCCTGTTAATAGAACCCAATTAGATTCATAGTTTAACGTCACAAAGTTTTAGTTCTTGTACTATTAAATTGGGAATATAATATTAGGTCTCTTTTCATAATAGTTTGTACAGTAACTAGAAACCCCAGTTCTCACTATTCTTAAAGTCTAGAACGATAAAGCCATGGTAGAGTAAAATTATTTCAGATTATCTCTTCCTCCTAGGCAGCTAATATTCTGTACATTGGCTGCTTTGGCTGAGGAACGAAAACCTTTGGAATGTCTAGATGCTTTTGGAGCTACTGGTAAGTAAGGACTCTTTTTTGAAACCCCATTTTATTTATCAGATTTGTACAGTATCTTTTCTTAGAAAATTTATATGAATATCCAGCAAAATATTTTGATGTAAAAAAAATTAAGATCCAAGGTAAAATTATTTTTATTTTTTTATTGTTTAAAAATTTCAAATATATACAAAAGTTAAAAATATAATAAATGAATCCCTGTGTATTCATCACCCACTTCAAAAATTATCAACTGATGCTCAGTCTTACTTTATCTATATCCCTATACCTCATACCCTAGTCCCTCCATTCTACTAATTTGAAACAAATCACAGATATATCATTTCATCTGTAAATATTTCAGTTGAATTGCTAAAAGATTAGGACTTAAAAAATAAAACCACACTACCATTATCACACCTAAAAATATTAAGAATGATTCTTTAATATCAACTAAAAAATCAAGATATGCCCAATTATCTCATAATATTTTTAAAAATTCAAATCAAAATCCAAACAAAGACTACCAATTTATTGTTTGATATGTCTCTTAAGTCTCTTTTTAGTTCATGTTCCCTTCTGTCATTCTGTGTGTGTGTGCATGTGTGCGTGGTAATTATTTTTTGACGTAACAGGTTGTTTGACATGTATAGTTTTCCAGAAGCTAGATTTTTGCTGATTGTACCACCAAGGCTTATATAACATGTTCCTCTCTTTTCTGTATTTTTGTAAATTGGTAGTTTGATCAGATTCAGATAGGTTTTTTGTTTTGGAGGGTTTTTAGCAAGAATACTTGCTGCAGTCTGGAAGCACCTGATATCTCATCATTATTTTTTTTGTGTGTTGTGATGATCATTGCCTAGTCTTTAGGCAATGAAGTAAGGTGAAATTTTAAAGATTTAGAACATTTTTCCCAAAAGACTTAACAGTAGAGGAAAGATAATAGAAACAGTAGAAAATTTCTAAAAATCCACTTGTACCCAGTCCAAGCCTTTTTTTGTAAAGATTATAGGAGTGTACTCTTGGGAGGCTTGTACTAAAAGGGTGAAAGAATGAGTTAGCTCTCCTTAGTAAATTCCTCTCCTCAGGTACAAGTAGCGGTTAAAAGCATGGACTGTGGAGCCACACTGCCTGGGTTCAAGTACTAGCTTCATCACATGCTAGCTGTATGACCAGAGGAAATTACATCTTGTGCCTCAATTTGCTCCTCTGAACAAGGGGCGGGGGGGAACACTAGTATCCATCTTACAGTCATGTGACGATTTAAGTAAATTAATACATGTAAAGTAATTAATACATGTTAAGTACCTGACAAATAACAAATGCTGTACAAGTATTAGGTACCATCATTGTATTATTACTATTATTATCATCATCATTATTAATGCCTCAGTGTCAATATGGTAAAAATGATGAGGTGATGCTTCTAAGGTGATGATCTCTGAGCCACTTAGAATTGAAATTTGAATCTTTTTTTACTACTCTTTTTCCCTCCACTGTCCCCACATTGACTCAGCTATGACATCTGTTCTAATTTTTCTTTTGTAATATAACTCACATTTCTTTTCCATCCCATATCCAGCAATTTAATGATTTAATGGCAAGTTTATTGCAGTAGTCTCTAATTGGTACCTTTGCTTCCAGTCATTTCTCTTCTCTCCAATTTATCTTGCATGCTACTTTACCAACCAGTCTTTCCTTTGAAGCGCTATATTGATAGTTACTTCTCAATCAGAAAAAGTCATGCATCTTTTTTTCCTAGAGTCCAGTCTTCTCAGGCTGCAATTTAATATCCTTCATAATCTGATCCCAACCTGCTTTTCCAAATTTATTTCCCAGTGTTTTCCCTTATACACCATTTTTCTTTACTCTTTTTTAAAATCTGAAATCACTAAAATTAATGTCTAAGGAAGATCTTTTCAGTCTTTTCTTTTTAATGTGCCTTTGTAAACATACTTATATTGGTTTGTAGCAATCATTTTGCATGTTTTGCTGTCCCTAAGATGAGGATCTTAGAACTTACCTCACATGCTTGTTGTGAGAATATGAAAAAAAAATATCTACAGTCCATAACATAGAGTAGATATCGATTTTTTCCATTTCTGAGGTACATGTATATAGGAGATAGTCAATAATTCTCATACATAGGGGATTTTCTAATGCATATCATCTCGGCTTGTATCACCATCTCCCATTTTGTAAATGAATATCCTTTATGACTCTAATCTAGTAGGTGTGGAAAGCCTGTTAGAAGGGGCTTTTATAGTACAAATTCTTCTTGATCATTTGCTGACATATTCAGAGTTGTTCTTTTTAATTCACAATGGTTCTGTTGGGTAGTGTTTGAAAAGTGTTGGTCTTGGGCCGGCCCCGTGGCACACTCGGGAGAGTGCAGTGCTGAGAGCGCAGTGTTGCTCCCGCCGCGGGTTCGGATCCTATATAGGAATGGCCGGTGTGCTCACTGGCTGAGCGCGGTGCGGGCGACACCAAGCTAAGGGCTTGTGATCCCCTTACCAGTCACGAAAAAGACCAAAAAAAAAAAGAAAAGAAAAGTGTTGGTCTAGAAAAGTTGTTTTTTGTATTTTGATGCATGAAGGTAAACTTGAGCACAAGGAGATCTGACTTCCCATTCTCCCATCAAGTGGAATAACACCACTCTTATTCATATTGTATACTGTGTTTCTCTTTAAGATTTTATTTCCAAAATAAAAAATGTATTCTATTGTAAGAAAAAGAAAACAACAAACAGCAACCACCTGTTCCACAAAATAAAAAACATACATAGAGATTTTCTTTGAACAAGCATGATAAAAAGTCTTATAAGAAGTATTAATGAAAATTTGTTAGACCTTTTTTTTTTTTGTCCTTTTTGAAACCGGCCGCCCCGCGCTCAGCCAGTGAGCACTGTGAGCGCACCGGTCATCCCTATATAGGATCCGAACCTGCAGCAGGAGCGCAGCTGCACTCCCAGCGCCGCACTCTCCCGAGTGCGCCACAGGCTCTGCCCAAAAATTTGTTAGACATTTTTATGGTAACTTTTCTTGAGAAGCTTTGTAGTGAGAAAGTAGAATAAGAATTGCTTAGGCCGGCCCGGTGGCGCACTGTGGGAGCGCAGTGGCGCTCCCGCCGAGGGTTCGGATCCCACATACAGACCAGCCGCTCACTGGCTGAGCGAGGTGCGGGCGCGACACCGGGGGGTGCGATGCCTTGCCCTTCCCGGTCCGGTACGGGCGCGACACTGAGGGTTGTGATCCATTGCCAGTCACGAAAAAAGACAAAAAGGAAAAAAAAAAAAAAAGAATTGCTTATGAAAATATTAAGATTTTGAAACAACTTTCTTGTTATAAAATTATATTTTTTATTTTACTGTTTTTATTCTTATTACAATTTAAAAACTCATTTTACACAGCATTGTAAATGTAATTCTACACAATAGTATGTTTAAAAATGCTTAAAATGGCAATCCTCATGTTATATATGTTTTACTACAATAAAAAAAAATGGAAGTAAATAAATAAATAAACTCATTTTCCTCCCTTTTTCTCCTAAGGGATCATGGGATTGCAATGGGCAAAACATCTTGGAAATGCAGTCAAAGTTACAATTAATGACTTGAATGAAAATTCTGTGACATTGATTCAGGAAAACTGCCATTTAAACAAATTGAAAGTCGTGGTGGACAGTAAGGAAAAGGAAGAGAGTGATAATATTCTCAAAGAAGAAGAAAACCTTGGTAATATTAAGGTGACCAAAATGGATGCCAATGTACTGATGCATTTGAGATCTTTTGATTTCATGTAAGTGAAAAAGATTTGCTATGTCATTTTCTAAACTTACCTGGAATTTAGGGGGGATTAAAAATTAAGATAATTTGTTATTTGTTTAAATTAATACAGCTTTTTGACAGGGGTTTAAGATATACAATAAGAAAAGTTTCTAGCATTTGAAATAAATTGCCTGAGCATGATACTTTTCCTCTAAGCCTGATTTATTTTTACATGGCTAATGTATCATATTAATTACTTACTTTAAAAAACAGAATTATGTATTTTAAAATAGATTTGCAAAGTGCTTTTGAATCCATGGAATTTTATCATTTAGAAATAGAGTGGTATAATTTTGGTTACTAATATGAATTTAACTATTATATTTTTTTTGATTTAGACACCTAGACCCTTTCGGAACATCAGTGAACTATCTAGATTCTGCATTCAGAAATATAAGAAACCTTGGCATAGTGTCAGTGACTTCTACAGATATCAGTTCTTTATATGCCAAGGCACAACATGTTGCCCGGCGTCACTACGGATGTAACATTGTCCGAACTGAATATTACAAGGAACTAGCAGCCAGAATTGTTGTAGCTGCAGTGGCAAGGTACCAAATTGCCAACAGTGTACCTAGTATGTTTTGATATATGATAAAAAGAGATAGTAGTGCTTATCTTATTTTTCAAAATAGGCATGAAATATAATTTCCGTATTCCATATCTATAAACTTGATTTTTTAAATCTTATGTTGTATCTGTTAGAATTTTATTTAAAAGCTTATGTCTGAGATATTCTATTTATTCTCCAACTTGAAATGTTATTAAAATTATTTTAAATGTTATTAAAATAAAGTAATAAAAAAGAAAAGATTAAAGTGAAAGTTAATTTCAAATCAGTTCATTTCAGTAACATAGCATAGATAAGGGATAGCAACATGAAAAGCAAAAATTGTTTTTAGATTTAGAAACAATTATTTGTCTTATATCCATTTCATATTATCTTCTTTATATAGTTTGAACAAAATGATTGATTGTAAATTTTATTCTGCAAAACGATTTTACTTACAAAACAAGAAGTTCTCTGTTTCTCACCAGGATTTCTAAACAGTTGAAAAAAAGAAGACTTTTTGAGTACCTATTATATGCAGAATATTATGCTAGAAGAATAATATAATATAAATGGAAACTGAGAGTATAGATCATAGATAATCAGTCAGCTCACTCACTAGCCTGAACACTAGTTTTATAGCATTTGGACTGAAATTCTACCTCAGCATAAATACAGATTATTAGACTTCATAGACCTTCAGGGTTATTCCTAATTAACTGAAAACTCTGATGCTCAGTTTGCATGTGCCAGGGACCTACTGCACATACATAAAAATATTTATAATGTAACATCAACAAATTCAAATTAATATGTATGAACTAAATTTAGTATATGACTGCAGAGGGATATGACTACCTACATGGTATATCTGGCAGAACTTAATCCAAAAAAGTCTGTAAAAATTAATGGTGGAAAGGACATTGACTATTCATTTTTCACTAAATATTCAGCAACTAGCATATAAAAACATACACTGTTTGGAAGAAGCTTTTTTTAAAAAAAACAGATAAAAAGGAAGAAAGGTGGTGGTAATAACAAGAAACAAAGCGACACTGAAAACCAGAGAATATGGTCCTATTGAAAGGATATCATAAAGAAAAATGTCTGGAGACTGAAGACTGTGCCAGGGATCCTTTATTTTCTGTATTTCAATTTGTGTAAAAGTTACTGTAATGGTCTTTTAAAAGCACTGCTACTGAGAATTACATTTTCCTTGATTTTCCATAACCTACCCATCATAGTTTACTGTCTAGGTTAGTATTGTCAATATAATGCCAATTAAAAGAAAATAATAAGCCCCCAAAATAACTTTTAAAAATTTTTTATAGAGCTGCAGCCCGATGCAACAAAGGCATAGAAGTATTGTTTGCAGTGGCTCTGGAACATTTTGTGTTGGTAGTTGTGAGAGTTTTGAGAGGACCTACTTCAGCAGATGAAACAGCCAAGAAGATTCAGTACCTGATCCATTGTCAGTGGTGTGAAGAGAGAATTTTTCAGAAGGATGGTAATATGGTGGAAGGTAAATTCAAAAGTTCCTCTTGACAGAATATTATGTTTAATTTATCTATATGCCTCCAATGAATAAGCCTTTATCACATCCCTAATTGTACATATTGTCCTTTGATTTTAAAGATTACAGTGCTAACTTTGTTATTTCCTATACGGGATTTCCTTTCATCAACAGACAAGACATTCGTGTGAGTTTATTAAAGTTATTTACTCATGCTGTATAATTTATGCTGTCTAGCCCTGCCCTCTATTGAAACATCTAGAAATAACTTAGTTTCCATTGTCAACTAATTTTAGGACCATAAATCAGATTACTTCTTTGGGCTGTTACAAATTATTAATTTTATAAAAATAATATTCATGTTTCTAGCTGAATAGAAAAGTCATCAGTATAAAATTCATTCAGTAAACATTTATTGAGCCTCTACTATATGCCAGGCCTGGGGATACAAGGAAAAAGTAGTGCTCATGCCCTCATAAAGCTGTTTCTGTTTGCTTTGTTGGGACGTAGAAGTAGTTGCCCATTGTTTTCTATTAGATTCTTGATGGTTTTTATTATGAAGTTTTAAGAATGTTTTATAGATTAGTGATTAGCCCTTGTTATGTGAGTTGCAAATATTTTTTCTCATTTTCTTACTTGTATTTGCAATTTTTTTTTAATCTTCATGAAGTTTTTTCTTGTTGCTACTGTAAAGTTAATCAAACTTTTATGCACTCTTGATTTTTTCCCTATAGTTTGAAAGAACTTTCCTATTCCTAGGTTATTCAAGGTAGGTTATGAATAAAACCTCTTCACTGATTTAGAATACCTTTATTATTTTATACTAAAGTTCCACATGTACTTGAGTTTGTTTCTGGATTTTCTGTTCTGTTCCAGTGGTTGGAAGTCTATTCTTAAACCTGTACCCCACTATTTTGGTTACAAAGACTTTTTAGTGTTGTTTAATGTCTATTAAGGCAGTCCCTCAGAGCTCTTTGTTTTCAGAGTGTTCCTGTTATTGGATCTTTTTTTTTTATCCTTAATAAAAAAGTAAATAAATAACCTAGTTTGGAATTTTATTTTGGTCACGTTAAATTAGGGAGTATAGATACTGTGATTTTGAAGCTTCCTACGAACAACATAGTATGCTTTTTGTTTGTTCAGGTACATTAGTGCAGTGTTAATTGACAGTAGTAATGGAGGGAATCTTGTCATGTTTCTTAGTTTAGTCCCATGTAGTGCTTTCTGATTTAAGCATGATATTGGCTTTTCATCTGAGATACCTCTCATTTATCTTGTTAAGGAAGTATCCTTCATTTCCACTTTTATTGTATTTCATGAAGATGTTAAATTTTGTCATATGCATTTTCAGCATCTGTGGAGATGATTATATGGTTTTTCTCTTTAGCTCTATTAATTTGATGAATTGTAATAAAATTTCCCAATATTGAACCATCCTGGATTTCCAAAAATAAGCTACTATCTCAGGAAGTATTCTCTTAATACGTTACTGGATACTATTTGCTAATTTCTTAAGGATTTTTTGTTTCAATATTCATAAATGAGATGGTATTTAATTTTACTTTTTACCATAATTTTAGTTGGAATTTGATATCTATTTACACTCACTTCAAAAATAATTTGGAACTTTTCACTTTTTTTCAGTTCTTGGGAACAGTTTAGTGTTGGAATTATTTGTTCCTTAAAGGTTAGCAATATTACGTACCATTTCTGTTTTATTTATATGGGATTGAGCTAAGTAGTGTCTAATGATTCCTTTCAATTTTTTTATTTCTGTGGTTATATTCCCCTTATGTATTTTTTATTTTTTTATATTCTTTCTGCCTTTTTTTTTTTTTTGACTATGTAAGATACTGGTTCATATACTTCATTGTTATTGTTTGTTTATATCTTAATAGTAGTGAATATGCATATATTTCTGTAATTTGGATTTATCAGTTTTAAGTAATGAATATGCATATAGTAGTGAATATGCATATATTTCTGTAATTTGGATTTATCAGTTTTAAGTAATATACTTTGGCTCCTTGATATCACAAATGAGATAATTAGCCTCCCATTTTCTGTTTTTCCCATTCTAACTTTTGTTTGTTGTACCATTTCTATGTTATAAGAATATGTAATGTTTACATCCTATTTTGCCAATATAATCTGTACATTAAATATATTCAGTGCTCATCATCAGTCTTTTTCCATAATTTCTCTAATCTTCTCTTTGTTGGCTAAATCTAACTTTCTTAACTTCCTCAATAGGGCTCATGGGAAAAATACAGTTGGCCCTCCATATCTGTGGGTTCCACATCTATGGATTCTACCCACCATGAATCAAAAATATTAGAGAAAAATTAAAAATAAAAAAAATACAGATAGAAAAACAATACAGTATAACAACTATTTACGTAACTATTTACACAAGTATTGATGGGGGGTCTTCAAAAAGTTCATGGAAAGATTCATATTATCTCTTAATTTCACTTTCCATGAACTTTTTGAAGTTCCCACATATATTGTCTTAGGTACTGTAAGTAATCTAGAGATCGATTTAAAGTATGGGAGGATGTATGTAGGCTATATACAAATACTATGCCATTTTACATTATATAAGGAACTTGAGCATCCTTGGGTTTTGGTATTTGCAGGAGTCCTGGAAGCAATCCCCCATGGATACCAAGGGACAACTGTACTCCTTGGTTTCTTTCATGTTTAAACCTTTTCTTTGCATGTTTAAGCATGTTCATAGCCTCTATACTTAAACAGTTTAAAGAGTTTCTTTGAGTACCTTGTAGATGTTCTTATATTGTCTTCTATTACTGAGTATTATTGTAACTTTTCCTTATATGTAACATGATCGTTTTGCCTAGATATCCAAAAGAATCTTTATTTTTTAAATCTAGTAACTTTACTAAGGTATATGTTTTTAGGGTCAATTTTCATAGATCCTGGTACACACATTCAACATGTAGTTTCAAATCTTCTTTTATTTCAGGGAAGTTTTCTTAAATATTTATTTAATTTTGATATTTGTCTTACATTTATATTAATATGCCTGTGTTAGATCTCCTTAGTCTGTCTTCTTTAACTGTCATTTTATCTCTCAAAATATGCATATAAATTTATAATTGTTATATTTTCCTCATGTATTGGCCCTTTTATTGTTATGAAATGTTCCTGTTTATCTCTAGTGATATTTTGTCTAAAAGTCTATATTATCTGATGTTAACACAGTGGTGACTATTTGCAATTTGCATAATATATTTTTTCTAATATTTTACTTTCAGTTGGTAGGTATCTTGTTGGCTTTTGCTTTTTTATCCAGCCTGATAATTTCTGACTTTTGATGAGGGTGTTAGACCATTCACATTTAATGTAATTATTGAAATGCTTGGCTTTGGGTCAGCCATTTTGCTGTTTTTTAAATGTATGTTTCATATTGTTTTTGTTCTTTTTTATTAAACAAATCTTTTTAGTTTGTCATTTTAATTAACTCCTCTGTTGACTTTTCAGCTATATATTTTTCAGTTGTCTTCCTAAAGATTTTTCTAGGGATTACAATATAACTTATTATCTTGATCTACTTCAGTTGATACTTACTTAAGTCTGGCAAAATCTAGCAACTTTGCTCCAATACAATTCTATTTTTCTTTCCCCTTCCTATGCTATTATTGTCATATATTAAATACATCTACATAAACACAACTCTACAATGCAGTATTTATTTTTTAAAATAATCTTATGATTTTCAAAGAAATTAACACAAGGAAAGAGAAAATACACACATATATACACATATATACTCTTGTTATAGTTACCAACATAATTTTCTTATCAGTGCTCTTTATTCCTTCCTTTGGATTCAAGCTACTCTCTGTATCATTTCCTTTCAGCTTAGAACTTCCTTTAATATTTCTTATAGAGCAGATTTGCTATGACACATTCCCCCAGTTTTTGTTTATCTAGGAATGTCTTTATTTTACCTTCTTTTTGGAAGGATAGTTTTGCTGGATGTAGAATTATTACTTGACAGCTTTTTTTCTTTCAGCACTTTGACATCATTCCATTGCCAACTGGCCTCCATTGCTTCTGATAAGAAATGTGCCATTGATTAAATTATTGTTCCCTTGTACTTGATAAGTTGTTTTTCTCTTACTGCTTTCAAGATATTCTCTTTGTGGTTTTCAGCAGTTTGATTATGATGTATCTTAGAGTGGGTCACTTTGTATTTTTCATATTTGGTACTCATTGAATTTCTTGGATCTGTAGATAGATGTTTTGCATCAAATTTGAGGCACTATCTTGCTTCTCCAACCTAAGCCCATTTGCATCACTTCAAACTGTGGGTAAATATTTCTGTTATCCACTAATCAGGGATTAAAGGAATAATATAATCAGCTGTTTCAAATACAGTTTTCTTTCTTTTTTTTTTTTTTTTCCTTTTTGTCTTTTTTACTGACTGGTAACGGGATCGCAACCCTCGGTGTCGCACCCGTACCGGGGACCGGCAACGGGATCACAACCCTCGGTGTTGCGCCCGCACCGCGCTCAGCCAGTGAGCGGGAACCGGTCACCACATGGGATCCGAACCCTCGGCGGGAGCGCCGCCACACTCCCAAGCGGCGCACTCTCCAGTGCGCCACCGGGCCGGCCCTCAAATACAGTTTTCTAACCAATCCCTTTAACAGTTGCCCTAGAGCCACTCTGGTTGTATCATCTTTGCCATTTAGGTTCAAGTAACCCCTACAGCTATTTCTGTTTTTAGAAGCTGTTCTCTTCTGTGTGCTTTCCCGCTGGTAGTGTGAGCTCTAAACTTTCGGCTTTCAGAAAATACTGAACAATTTCAGGTGTGTGATGATTCACCTTATTTTCTAGCACTTATTAGGAATTATTCATAAAAATATCATTTCTATCAAGTCTAAAGATTTGGAGTAAGAAGAGCAGCCAGTTTTAAATGCTCAGTTCACCATCCTAATCTTGTTTTTAAGGTAATAGAATCAAAAGAATGATAGAATTCA